CCCAAAACCACCCTGCCTGCCCCGCTTCCCGCGTAAATGATGGAATGAACCGTGTAAAAAAAAAATTGTCGGTCTGGCAAGGTGCCGCATAAATGACCAAACGCGCAAACCAAATCCGCGTAAATCGAGACTATACTACTAGCCTCAATCAGGCCCCATCTACATCAAAACTGAATACAAAGTAACTATAAGAACTATAACAGGTAAACTATACAGTACTACAAAGAAAAAAAATCCTTCATGACCATACAGAACCACTTTGACATGAGAGGTACTTAATTCTATTCAACAGACCAATAAAATCAACACCTTTGCAACTACCTGTACTATATATAATTATGTTGCCTCTGAAGATGTCTTGAATAAAGACGAAAGCTAAGGTGCTCCGTTGTTTCCATTTTCCCGTGTGATTTTATCAAGATTTATCTTATCCAGGTTTTCATTGTGGATTTACACGAAATATAATTATGTTCAACCTGCCTCCACCACAAATTCAATAAAGGAACTCCAGTATACAACTTCACAGATATCCCTAACTTCTAACCCCACCTCCATGCATAAAGACCTGCAACATCATCTACAACCAACTAAAATTCCACCACCACATATTCATCCTTTGAAATCCAACCTCCAATGTGCAACTCAGCTCTGCACACCACAAACCATCTAATAATTTCCCAACCATCTCAAAACTCAACTCGACAAAATAATCTTAACACGGGATCTCTGGTAAGGGCTGGTGAGAGTTGTAGGTTTCCAGGTGCAATACAATCCTGTACAACAATAACAAATCCTAAAATGATGTGTATGCCTAGAAAACCTGCCATAAGATTATTTCAATCTAAACAAAATATTACCTATCAAATTCTTTATATACATGTATAAATGTATAGTATATATCAGGTGCCTAAAAGAGAGCTCAGGTTCTCAACTGGCTCAGCCATGTTAATATTTTTATTATTATCCACTCTGTATCTGTGTTTTTCTGGCCAAATAAATTGTTTCAATCCAATTCAATTCAACTTAAATAAAATAAGAGAGAATAAGATAGTTGTCCTCACCTGTTTCCATCCACTTGGTCAACGCTGTCTTTGCGGCTGGTGGGCTGTGAAGTAGTAGGAGGGGTGTAAGGATGAGTACGTGGAGGAGAGCCACCCCATGGGGTACGTAGGGGGGAGCCAGTATTTGACGGGGTGCGAGATGCAGAGTATGACGTGGGGGTGCGAGAGTATGGAGATTCACCCCCAGAATTCGGTCCTCGCATCCACTAAAAGATTATGATTATATAATTGACCAGTTACATAACACAGTTACGGACACTTAAAACTAACTTGGAGTAAGCACTGCTAATGAAACAATACAGTCAGACCTTGCTTAAGCAATGTAATCACTGGCTAATCCTCACCAGCTTAGCCATTGTGTTGTTATTCAGATATGCTACCATTTACATTTAACAATTACAACAAGATTTTTTTTGTGAAATTTCAAAAGCAACTGGATTAATTGGCAATGCCATACCAAAATTATCACTACTTAGTCTGCCATCTTGTCTCCTTCCTCAAGACAAACAAAAACCTATGATATATTTACAAGGTATTGTTAATTCCAATTCTTCCATGTGATTGGTTGACCGAGTACTGGGATGAAAAGGACAGGATGGTTGAATGCACAACTTACGCCAGTACAAACAAGATGACAAATCCAAATACAGTGATATCCCCATTAGCAGGAACAATTGGTGCAGAGCACTTCAGGGAATGAGAGATTTCCGGGTAACGAGACGACTCTCAAAAACGGAAAAAATCCCTCATCCCCAGAATTTTCCGGGTAATGGAAAAATGTTCTCGGAAGTTCCAGAAATTGCCCATTACATCAACTCTCTAACCCGGAAAAATATCCCTCATCCCCGGAATTTCCCAGGCAACGGAAAATTTTTCTCAGAATTTCCAGAAAATGCGCCTGATTTTCATCTCTCAAACCCGGAAAAACTCCCCCATCACCGGAATTTTTCCAGGTATTGGGAAAATTTTCTTGGAATTTTCCCAAAAATTACTGTTTTGGGAACGATTTTCCGAGAAAATTTCTTCCGGCTAACGGAGATATAACTGTAAACATTTCTTTGGGGATTTTAAATCATTTAAGTAAGGAAGAAAGCTTATTTCACAGCAGTTTTTTTTGTTTCACTATTTACAGACAGAACACAGCATTGAAAACTTTCAGTATGACAAACAACATGATTATAAAGCTAAGAAAGTAAGAAATTTAATGAGATCTGATGCTGTATCCATGATATTTGTGTGTGGAGAAAAGGTCTGAAGCAGCTAGGAGAGAGATCTGTGCTGGGGACAGGAGGGAAGAAGCAAGGTATAGGTGAATTTTCAGTTGCAGGCCGGCACTTGACAGTCTGTTAGCTCCAAACAATTCAAAATCCATAGTTGTAGCAAACAAGCAGAGATAGAACTTGTATACTGTATCTCGATAATCCAGGGGTTGAATTTTACAGTAGAGCCTGTATTACCAACTTCGATTCTGACATACAGATTAAAACATGTACAGGTATTATCCTTTATTGGGAGATGTTGATATAAAATAAATTAGTAATTCAATCCTTATACATTTGCACTGAATATAATACTGTACCTTTAAGCATTATAGTGTATGCTGTAAAACTGTTAATAAAACTTATGTACAATGATTTTGAGCTTGAACTTAACTTGAACTTATCCTCTTGATCACATGTCAGCTGTTCAGATGGTCGCTCACTTCTTGGACTCTCACCACTGGTAGACACTGGACATGTACTTGATACTGAATGTAACTGAACATGTGTCAATGCTGGTTTAGCCTATGCTCGGAAAGGGTTCACACTTGGTACTGTTACTACATTCAATGGTAAATTATTTTATGAATTCATCACAGTTACTCCAAACAAGTTGGGTCTAACAGTTTTCCATGCTGGTCGTTTTTTTTAGCACGTGATCTCTTGTAAAGATATATCTCTCTGACTGAGTAGTGTTATCCAGGTACTTCAATGGAGTCTCCTTTTGTTCTTTAAAAATGAAAGTAGCAAATCTAAACATTCCTGACTCTCGGTCAATGAGGCACAGTATTTGAGTGTTGGCACCTGGCAGCCCTTCCTTAAACTTTCTCCATTAAGAAACAATCTTTATATTATCTTGGTGATATATCAGAATTACAATACAGTACAGTACTCCAAGTGAGGCCCCACAACAACTTTAAGAAGGTATTGCAGATGAAAAATTTAGATGTGTATTGGATCATCTCATCAACCCAAGATTTTCAACTTGTGGTACAGTATGAGGAATTCAATATTGTACTACTGTACTATGCTGAGATACAATGAGTCTAGTACATTAGTTATCCAAACTTTAACTTTTTTATAACTTTTTAAATTCTAAAGTAAAATGCACAAATAAGAGAAGTACAACATTTCCTTGCCATACACTTTCAAATTACTGTATCAGAAATGTGGACTTGTATTATCAGAGAGAGTGCAAAGTTAGGCCAAGAGTTCCCTTACCCTTGCTCTTACTGCATGACGGGCTGATACATGACACATCTCTGACACACACAAAGTGGATCAAGTGCAACTTATCTGCACATGCTGCACCAAATTTCACTATAAAATTTTTCATAAGCAGGTATCCAAGCATATTACTTGATCTTTCTGCCATTAGGGACTGTTTTTAATAAAGAAGGAACTCATGCAAGTCTTTACACTTCATAATACTTACAGGAAGGCTGCTCTTCATTTTCACCGATTTACTGCCTTCTAATATGTAACTCTTTAAAATAAAGGGGAACCCTTTGAAAAGCACTTCAGCATCCACAACACACTGTAACCTCATGTGCATTGTATCAATCTTAACAGCAGAGTAACACTGACACTGAGTAACTGCAAGTTTTGATGATACAATACACTTTTGCAGTCAGGATCATTCAACATTTATTGATCTTAAACTAATTCACAATTTAAATGGTAATCTTTTATCTACCAGAACTGTACTCTTAATTTTTTGAGTGGTTGAAATCCCAACTCAAAATGTTCATATTATTTTACTTTTATCTAAGCGAGAAATGCAGTTTTAACTAAATACTTGTATTCTAAGAAACATCTCCATCAAAGCCCATGGATTGAGGCCCAAGAAAAAAGTGCATCTAGAATTTCTTTAAAGTTTCTCTCAATTTACTTGTACATATTTCAGGCTTCTGCTGGCTGTCCCACATAATCACACTGCTTAAATTACATAATTTCACTTGTAATTAGTAATACTGTACTGTATATACTTTGTGGCCCCCCTGCCTACTACAGTATTAGCTCTCCACATTCTACCAGATGATCTTACAGTGTATTGCTAATTTTGTCACTGTGTACAATTTTTGAGAGAAGAGAAAATGAACAAGATTTTGGCACGAGAAAGTATATTGGCATCAATCACCTGATCAATCCTCACCATCACAAACAATGATTCCAATATACGTACAGCACCTTCATTTATTACGTATTAACCACTTCACTATGGGGACGCCATTTTTGGTATTCTACTGTACAGGTACTCCTCGACTTACGACCTACTCGACTTACGACCGCCGCAGTCGTACCAAAATTTTTTAAAATTACGTATTTTCGAGTCCCGACGTTAGTGATTGTGCTGTGTACTGACAACATTTTTGTTTGTAATTCCCTTTAAAATGGCTGGCAAGCTTAAAAGTGAGAGTTTTGTGGTGCTGACAAGAAAAAGAGAGACCCATTTTAGATTTTCTATGTATTATATTCGCATTTTCGACTTAAGACCAATTCGACTTGCGACCTGGATTTGGGTTCCTAACCCCGTCGTAAGTATTTGGTTAACGTCAGGTGATTTTATTCAGTACAGAGGGGAGCCCATTCACAAGGGGTAAATAGACTATCTCCACTAACCCATTCATAATGGGGGATGTCAATTTTAGTCTTTTATTTAGCTAACAGAGGGAGGCATGTATACATGGGATCAAGTGAGGAATGAAAGGGATTCGTAATTAAGCTCTCCTACAGTTCACATTGCTGTTAAACTCTAAGTGCAGGAGACTCTTCATAGAGGATGGCATTCAGGTACATAGGATCACATTCTCTAGTCAGTCATTCTCAATCAAAGCTCACCTCTCACTGAAAAATATGGATGTGTCACCGCACCTCAGAAAATCTTGCATACCTCCCATAAATTAATTTTGAAGAATCAGAGAATTTAAAGTTAATGAATGTTTATCTATAGAAAAACATTTGGCAAATTTGCAAGAATTTTTGGGGTCAAGGAACAAATCCCTGTTTTTCCATTAATAATGATTTCAACAGAGACTGACCCTATGATACCTAATCTCATTCTCTAAGAGAGGGTTTACAGTCATGAATGTATGGTACTGAATAATTATAGTACCTAACCTATCATCAATTTTCCAAAAGAATTCATTGTATCTGAAGAAGAGTGGAAGAAGCGATCAATGCCAAAAGAAAAGTGGAAAGTTAAAGTACTTTTATAAATTTGTAAAACATGGGGAGGTACATTAGAACAGATGTTAGTAGATATGTGACAAGACATATTTATCTGTTGGGTGTGCAGTGCTACATGGCCTATACAATAGAGACAGTCACACAGTAACTTGGTTAAATACCCTTTCATCAAAAACATATACTGTATCTAGGTTTTACATTTAAAGACAGAATTATCACATCTACCTACAATTTCTGAAAAAAGTACTTTTTTATCATAAAGTAACATTAGCATGTAAACCAAAATTTACTATCCTTTTCTTATCATCTGACCAGAACATTTATGATACAATATTCTCCTTAAACCCTTACTTTAACCAACTCATTAACACTAATTTTCAGACTGCAGAGGTCCCCCGAAGTATCATGATTCTTGTGGCAACAATTTGAACTACCCTGAGACATTAATTCAGATCATGTTTCTGTCGAAATTGATTTCCAATTACTGTCCTTGAAAATTTATGACCTGCTTCAAGAACATTCTGAAGGAAACTCCTCTATCAGAAGTGTTTGAAACACTTCCAGGCAAGCAATGTTTGTTCACATCTTTAACAAAAGGGAGTTGCTATATACTGAGCATTTAAGGAGGAGGTTTCTCGGCTTACCTGCATTTTACCAGAAAGTAACTGCCTTATTTTTCGAAATGTTTTCACTTTCTGGGCAGAAATATAAAAGTGATGCTTGGTAAGCTCATGCAAGGTATTTCATAGATATAAAAAGGTAGAGAGTTTCATGCATCATAACCTACCTCACAGCTACCCCCATCACACTCCCCATTTTCTGTTTTCAGTAGCACATACAGTTCATCTGTTCTGTATGTTGCATAATATATAGATGGACATGTAAACAACTGCATGGAAAATAAAATATCAAATAAATGTTAATACATACATATAAAAAAATAACTGTATTTGAGCATGTTGGAAGTCACTTATAAAAGACACACCACGAAACATCACTGCCTGGGTACACCATCTCAAGCTTGGCTCCACCACCCCCCTGCTACTACATCACATGATTTTGTTGCACAGATCCACAGGAGAAAAAAGCAGTCATTCATTCAGAGCAGTTAATACAAATCACAGGCATAGATTTAACTTTTTTACGAAGGATAATTTTTCAGGAAAACTTTTTGTGACGCTTAATAAAAATTACAGCCTCATTATCATTATATCAACTCCACTGTGATACTGCACCTAACCTCCAGATCTTTCGGGGGACCACTGTAAGAGACGTGTAATCTAATGAAACGATAAAAAGTAATTACCTCTAGAGTCGTTTGGTAGCGAGGCGCGAGTCGAGCAGTTGTAGAGTGACGGTCAGGGCGGCCATGAAGAATATCAACCCTGGAAAGATTTCACGAATCATACAAGCCAAGAGATACACTTCTTGATTACTGTACATACATATTTTGGTGTACTTTTATGGCAAGACAAGCAGAGCATAACATAGACACACACAGGTGGACAACTTACATGCTGTTAGCTTGTCGAGAGGAATTAGAAGGACGGCCAGCAGAGTGGCAATAGCTAGAGGTAGAGGAACGTCGAGATGCACTTTGTGAATGGCTGCCGTCTGGAGATACAGCACGGGGGCTACGACTCACATAAGTCAAAGCGGCTTCTTCAGATACAACTGTGGATAAAAAATTCCTGATATTATACAAAAACTATGATTATGATTCCAATATCCATGTTAATATAAACTTTACTTATTACTGTCCTGATATTGCATTATATCACCTTAACAATGTATAATTTTGTATCCTTACTTGGCCTATCAGTGAAGAAAGCATCAAAGACAACAAAGTTGTTAATTTGGCTGACTTGCTTGTAGAGGTTGTAGTGCTTCCGCAGGAATCCCAGGAACTTATCTGAGGGCTTATCAACTGCCATGTGACCGGGTAAAACATTTTGATCCTGAGAGAAAAAAGAAAGAATATTGTATATTTCTAGATCTCTCAATAGTGCAAACAGAGATGTCATTTCACATATGATAATGATAACATGAATGAGTCAGACTATTTAACATGACATGCAGTGAATAAACTATAATATGAAGCACTGTGGATGAATGTGGATGCTAAGACCTACCATATTATCTACTGTACATTTTGAAAACTGAGGAAAAGAGCACGTGTGTGTGTGTGTGTGTGTGTGGATACTGCATTTCTACTTGTTGTCTGGTCCCTCTCTTGTTGCTTTACATAAATTTTTTGCACCATTCACCCTATTATTTTCCCAATCTTCTCTTGGGACTTCTCTACCTCTTGATCCTCTCCACACAAAAGTTGCAAGAGGAGTAAAAACACAAAACATTTATTACTTGTGGGCGATTCCAAATTGTGCCTAGAGAAACTGATTTAATAGATATATCTATCACTCTACTACATATGTCCTGAATTTTGGGGAGACAACAATTTATCCATTTGTATGTGTGTAATTTGTAGTTTAGATGATCATGAAACTGATATTTTCTGAATTCTCACAAAATCAGTCCAGTTTACTTGGCCAGGCTGTACTGATACCACAAGGTTCATTTAGACTCTTACCCATAAAAACTGTAAAATGCTGAACTGTTACTGATCAGAACAGTAATATTAGATTAATATATAAAACATTGTCTGTGGTCATCCTGTTTACATTATAGTATCCCTCCATACAGTAATGTTGGATTTACAGTACTTTTATAATCTAATCCTTAAATAACAGCTAAGGTTTTCCTACTCTGCCCCCATATGTGCACAAATGAAACACAAAGAACGTAAAAAGATCCACTGACAATGGCCGCCATCCTTACAGCAACAACTTTTTCTTACCCGCAGCATATAATCAAACAGCCTTCTGCCATAGCCTCTGCGCTGTCGTGACTCATGAATATAAAAATCTAAGACACAGAGAGGAGCACACTCCTTTGTCCGCTGTGAAGTATCCAGAAGGAAGAGCTTCTTGCGGCCAATCTTAAGCATACCAACAAGAAGACACTGTCCTCTGCAAATAAAGCCATCACATATTGTAAAATCTGTATTAACACCACTGAACTCCCTCTGTGAACCCAGACTGCAGATTGGTAATATTAAATTTATTATAACATATTTACACAATAATTTTTACAATACTATTAGCTTTTTATAAGGATTAGCATCATCTTAGATCTTAAACACATCAGCATATTGTATAGTATATGTCTGTCTTGTCTGTATCATTTTTGTGTGTGTATTATATCCAACAATAAAAGAAATTCAAGATAAGAAAAAAACTTGGTTCAGGTACTGTATATGAAGATGCCAGAGAATTACTCTCAGGATAAAACTTCTGGGAGGTGAAAGATCAAGGATAAAAATTAAACAAAATGAATTCAAACCTTAGATCAGCGGTTCTTAACCGGGGGGGCCTGAGTAATTTCCAGGGGGAGGGGGGAGATGAACCCAGAGCAAAAATAAGGAAGGGCCTTAACAGGTGTGTATGTCCTTACTTGGATTTTCGTGGGGTGTCGTCTCGCTCCCCACAGATACTTCAAAATGTCGTAAATGGTAACTAAGTCAATCAAAACATATAATTCCAATAAAGTGACTGAATTAAGGTAGTAATAATGTTGGAAAGTGTACGTCAAGCTGTTCGGATTCTGACAATGTTTGGATGCACGTATCTTTGTGAGGCTGCATTTTCTGCGCTGGTTGATGTCAACACCAAATACGGAAACAAGCTGAATGTTGAAGTGGACTTGCACTGTGCTCTCTCTGGCACGCGGCCACGTATTCGGGAACTGGTAGCTCAGAAGCAGTGTCAAAAATCTCACTAAATGTGTTCTCACTAAATATGTTGTGTATTTGCGAGGTGCTTATACAGACTCTTTTGAATAATTAAAGTTATTAAAGTAACGAATGAAAAACTAGTTTCTCAATTTTCCCATTTAATTCAAGAGGAAATTGTTTTAGAAATTTCAGATTTAGAATTTTATATGAAGGAAGGAGGGGGGCGTGAAGATGAGGACCAACTGCTATAGGGGGCACGACCCTAAAAAGGTTAAGAAACACTGCCTTCGATAATAATGTAATTTGTGAAAGCAGGTATACTGTACTTTAAATTTAATGTAGCATATTAAACTTAGTCTGGAGAGAAATGTATAGGCTCTGGGTTAATAAAGATAAATGTCAAATTACAGTACAGGTATTCAGCATGTGGGGATTCTGGAGACATAAGCTGGGAGAGACAAAACACAACCCTACTGTACATCTCACCAATAACCACGATGACTTACATGGACTCATCCTCCTCCTTCATGAGATACAACAGGTGGTCAGAAGTCTGGAGCTTATCTGCTGTAGTAATAACATTGTTGAGGCCCTGGGCAAAGGATGAGGCCTCTCCTATCGCGTTAATGATCTGGTACAGCTCCTGGTATTCTACCCTGTGGATGGTGGAGATTTACTCATAAGTGGTAGGTTTTGTTCTTATCTAACATGAATAATTTAACTATATGGTATTGTACCATATATTTACTTACTAAAACCTACAGTAGGTCACTGAGAAAATAATACAGTAGTATGGAATGGTTGATAGCATATACATGTACAGTCACGAACAAAACTTCTGTCACCTCTTCCGCTGTTCCATGAACCCTGAGATTCAGACTCATGAATCTGAAGCAGTGTCTACTGCTTCAGATTTATGAGTCTGAATCCCGGGGTTCATGGAGCAGTAAAAGAGACAACAGGATTTGTTTGTTTGTGACTATACATATCCTGTACTGTATATGCTACATAAAAATAAACATTTAATGGCAATTTTAAATTACAAATATCTATCTACAAAATCTATCTTGATGAAGTTAGAGAAAAAAATAAAAAGCACTTTAAAGGCATGATGGAAGTGATTGAAACAATAAGATCAGGTAATTAGGAGAGAACAAAATTGAGATACTGTACAATGGAGGAGAAGACAGTTACAAAAAGAGGAAGTAAAGCAAAGAATAAAAAAACAATTAAAAAAGGTGTATAGTGTTTGAAAGACAAAAAACAGTAGTACAGTACAGCAACTTAATATTATAAGGATTGGATCACCTGAAGATTAGAACCACCAACTTATTTCACCTCATGTTTAGCTACCCTAACCTAGCATAACTGAATCTAACAGCTTTACCTAATCTAACCTTACCACCCAAATGATAACCTAAACTAACTTCCCTAGATAATATTATGAAGTTTAATCATCAGATAAAATAAGCTGGGGTGTTTAATCATCAGTTAAAATAAGCTGGGGGTGTTTAATCTTCAGATATAATAAGCTGGAGCGTTTAATCTTCAGATATAATAAGCTGGAGTGTTTAATCTTCAGATAAAATAAGCTGGGGTGTTTAATCTTCAGATAATCCAAATATGCTGTGACAGTAAATTGACTAAAGAGTAAAGAGACTCATTAACCTCACTGATCTATGGACTTTTAATAAACCTAAAGACGCCTCTCGTGAATAATTGACACAGGCCAGTGGTTCTTTAGAGGCTATAATTGTGTGATACAGCCATGATAGTGGCCACATGCATGCGACACACATAAAAGGTCCCCCCCCCCCTCATCTGTATTGATTACCTTAACTTCATTGCAGGGGGCCTGACTCCTGACTAGGAATGTGGTGCATTACTTCCTAGTTAATGGTAAAGGAGAGGGAAATGAAAGAGAAAAGAAGATAGAGTAAGTGATAAAACTGCAAAGAAAAGGGCAAAGAATGATGATAAAAGAGGAGAAATATGAAAACCAAAATTATAACCATACACTGTACAATACAGGAAATAAAGAGGAAAAACACATAAAGAACAGAACAGATAATGGGACAAAGACTGACAATGAAACAGAACCTAGAAAATAGAAGAGTACAAATAACCTTATGTAAATTTACATACCGTAACTTGTATACATGTATATCAATAGACCCGATATACAGGCAGGCTAATACTAATCACAGGTTACAACAAAGTGTAAAAATGCTTTAGATCCGGTCAGTGATCTAGACAGGACCCCCCCCCTCCCCATTGCATGTGAGACACCAGGCACGTGGCAAGCACCACCGGCTATAATCAATGCTGGGCAAACATGACTGGACTTGGGGAAATACAACATACTGGTACCACTGGCACAAAATTTTTATTCACCAAGTAAACCACAAATCTAATGATTAATTCTTGAACACCACCAGTACTACTGTACAGTAATACCACAGTTGGCATAAGCTAATGATATATATATATATATATATATATATATATATATATATATATATATATATATATATATATATATATATATATATATATATATATATATATATATATATATATATATATATATATATATATATATATATATATATATATATATATATATATATATATATATATATATCCTAAATCAAAATTATATATACCGTATTGTAATAGCTTCTCCAAATTCATGGAATGCACATAAAAACTACAGAGGAAAGTGATGTGTACAGGAAGGTAAAACAAAATGAATCATGATAGTCACAAAGAATGTACCTTGTACAGTAATGTGAAATGAATATGGATTCATACAAGAAAATACTATACAGTGCAGTACAGTTTATACCTGGTGTAGACAGGAACATACTGTACACAAGTTAATTCCTTTGGGGAGGGGAGGCTGAACCCCCAAGGGAAATGCTGTGATATTTCAGGGGAAGGGGTGTAGGGGGTCAGCTAATATGTACATAGAATAGCATATTACACTTACAGCTACCTACAGTATATACAGTACTGTACTATAATGTCACATTAAATAAAGTTGAAAATGGAAAATTTCAGTGTTAGCTGGCTTCTATACTTATGAGTCATCTTAGTCTCTAGAATGCCTCATAAGTTTAAAAGTCAGCTAACATTGTACTGTATTATACAATACATAAAAGGGAGTAAATAACAGCTATTTACCTAACCCCATAGGTGTCATAAAGGATTCCACTCCCTAGCTTGGCCAGATTATCTCTAGAAGAGCAAACAGATCAAAGGAAGGCCTCATGGACACAAAGCCCTCACATGAATGTCCTTGCAGGGCCCAAAAATATTTGAAAGAAGTGCCAGCTGGTATAAAACAATACCAACCCTGATATCCAGAGAACTGCACACCCAGCATAACCCAAATGAAATGACCTCATCAAATTGATTAAAAGAAACATGGAAAATTCATTCAAACAATTGGAAAAAAGAAGGCAAGGACACTAAACCATATTTCAACCTACCTGCTAAGTCAAGGAAGGAGAAAAACATGCTCAAGGAAGAGGGAATCCAAACCCGGGCAAGCGAAAATGAATAATCAATGTAAAAATCCATCGTCACCATATTTTTACAATAACTAAACCATCCTAACAACAATTGGGAATAGGAATGATTCTAGTTGTTCCAATTCAGGGAAAATGCATCCACCCTCAATGAACCCTCATGAGGAATGGGCGACTCAAATGACAGGAGACAGCCATCATAAACTTCACCAGATTCCAAGGTAAAGAATCCGTAAAAAGATTCTGGAACACCAACTCGTGAGAAGCACCAACTTTAGAAAAAATATAATTATGGGCAGAATTTCAAAACTCTTACTTTGGATTTTCCCAATTTTTTGTTAAAGAGTAATACCGGTACTGTCCATGAGCATGTGGACCCCATGTTTGTGCTTCTGTAGACAAACACTTCCCAGCAACCAACTGAATGCTAAGTGACTGAACACTTCCCAGAAACCAATCCATACCTTACCTAACTAAACCTACCTAACCAACATAAATTAACCTACCTAACCATCATAAATTAACCTACCAAACTTTAACTAAAATAACACCGATACACTGTACTTCCAAATCATATACTGTAAAGTAATGTATAAAGGGCACTGGGAACTAGTGCATCGACAAAGACTCATATTAAGAACGAAAATTATGAAAGCTGTAATTCCTCCATTATTTCTGGGCATTCTAGAAGCAAGAAATAAGTTTTCTTCTCGTGAGTCAGTATTCCAGACTACAGTATTACCCAACATACAAAGGCACAGATCTCTAGAAACTTCCCCTAAAGGAGGAGGGGGCCCATAGGAACCATAGCTACATCTTGATACAACAGCACGATGTATTATCCATAGAAAAATACTCATTCCCCAAAAGCTTATCTCACTACCACTATGGTTTTACTCACTTCAGCAGACCACACCTAGGGAGACTGTAGGTCTAAACTTGGATTAATCCAATTTATAACCCCTATCTCTTTCATCTACCTACTGTTACCCCTCTTAAGACTTTCTGCCTCGGTTTCTGGGGAACATGTGCTTTCCTATAATCCACTCCACCTTGTGACTGAGAAAATTAATACTCTGAAACTCCTGCACATTAATATACAATTCCTTCAGAGCCAGAGAACAATTCAAATTATTATCTTCTGAATCATCTCCACAATTACTGTAGATCAAAAGTAATTAGTTAGAGAATTCTGATAAATAAAGACTGAAGTCTCTTATCCAGCCACCATTTGAAGGGAATGAATAAGTGCCACAAACTAGCCCTTATAGACTTAGTCAATACAACCACCAGCCTATTACACAGACTACCAGTACCCAAGATCATAAATTGGTCCTCAAAACATTTTCACCCATACCCTCTCACACATCATGCTAGCCACATACAGTACAGTACTTAAATCAAGAGAACTCAAACCTTCCTGGACAGGAGTTAGCATGTCAAAGAATTACTTTGAACTTACTTCATTACTTCATCAAATTGACAAAAGACAGCATTGAAATAATGCTTAACACGAGTTAATCAATAGGTACAATTAACCCTCTATGATATGCGTTCCAATAATTGTGCAAATAAGAAACATTTTTGACACCTTTAGTAAAGTATATGCATAACTGACAACTGGTATTTAATAAAAAATAATAATATTAAAAAAAATATATATATATATACAGTATATATATATATATATATATATATATATATATATATATATATATATATATATATATATATATATATATATATATATATATATATATATATATATATATATTAATTTTTTATATATATATACTGTACGTATAACTAATCAAAAGAAACGAATTTTAAATTAACACCCTATAAGCATCATACCAACATAATAGTATTATTTTATTTATATTGTAACAAAACATAGCAGCACTCAAGAACAGTTCCTCAACTTCATTACAAAATTATTGAACTGTATTATAATCAACTCATCTCTCACTGTTTGATGCATGCCTCATTCACATTCCACTTTAAATAGAAGAGGTAAAGCTTATGACATTTACCCCCAGAAGTAATTTATGGAATTGAAGCAATATTCCTGGAGATACTATTTGCATGATACTGAACATGAAAATGGGAGCGAGAATGCAGAGCCTATTAGAACCTGACCTAACCTTACCTAACCTGTGCATTGTCATTTAATTTTCTTACTTACTATCATCCAAACAACATCTCTAGAAAAAATTAACGATTTCAATTCGATATATGTAAATCGTACTAAACACGCCCGATGAGACCATCACTCATTTCTTGACCTGTAAATAAAGACTGCGGTCGCTCCTGTATAACAGACGATATAAATCAAAACATGGTCGCCATAGGAGATCAGACGGTGCCATAATTACGGTAAATATTTTATTTCTTCGCCTACAAAAAACATAGAGACGTGAAATTACTGCCATATGATCAGTGTCCACAGTGTTTTTACCCTGTTATTTCACTTTTCTTCCATACCTTACCCACTAACAAGTAACCTATGATCAATGGATAGGCAAAAAAGAAAAAAAGAAAAATACTGTACTACAATGTTGCTGCCTCAATTTTATTACTCAGTATCATCCAAACAACAACATCTGAAAATTTTATGCAATTCCATAAAGTCCTTCTGGTACTAACGGTCTCCTCTACCTATACCAAAGAAGATAACGAAGAACTCTTTTTCTAGAACAAAAATTTATGAATATGATAATAATGGTGACATGAAATATCCAGTATCACCCTTTTTATTCACAACAGCATATAAAGCAAACAGTGGCAGTGACTTACTCGTCAAATATTAAAACTTATCACAGTATTTTACAGTTTTAACATCATCTCAAAACACTACATACACTGGGTACATTCATTTAATACATGTTCTATATAGAAAACCCCACAATTGCTTGTCTAGTGGTGCCCCTGTTCAATTCACTGTATGAATGAGTCAAAAACAAGTATTATTAACCTACTTAACATATAAAGACAGTGCAGCTGGTGGTAGTGACAGGGGGAGGATTAATTATCCCATGTATTTTTTCTTACTTTAGCCATACTTGAAAGGTTTAAAAGTTTGTGTATCTATCTACAAATGAATAATGAAGTAGGCACACGTAACGTCATTGCTATATTAAGTTGAGAATCCCGGGAAAGTGTAGTATATAAACTATGTGTCCACTGAACTTCCGCCTGCCACGGCCTTGCTTTGACAGTCAACGCCCATTTCACACACCTTGACATTTAAAACTACATCAAACTCCTTATTTAGACAACATGCACGATGAATCACTTACAACCTCACAATCCTTCATACTCCTCGAGAATAAAAACTGTAAAACGATTAACCAATAACACGATGAAAGTGAAAGGAGGGTAATTTAAATATCTCTTTAGACTACTCACCTGTTTTTGGTTGTCGACTTCCAATCACCAATTATTAGATTATTATCCACTAGTGTTATTTCATCCGGTAATAGAGTCCTCACGTCGAATCGGAATTCCATGTTTAATTGGCGGCTGGAACGGGTGGGCAGAAGATGTGAGCGGGAGTTTGTATGAGGGAATGTTGCAGAGGCTTGGCTGACCAGCACCAGCAGACGACACCCTCCCTACAACAACTGATCGATGACAACACACACAGAGAACGGGAAGACCTGTGTGTCAGTTACTCTTTATTATTTCATTTATTAACAAAGAACTGGTGGCTTATTACTCACTAATTGATTAACTATCCTGTTTATAATTAATTTTAGTGTTGTTTTTTTAATATATTGTATATCGTAATGAGCTGGGTAAGTCAATTATATTAGGTGTAAGACATTAACGTGTATGATGGCAGGAATACCATGCGTTCGTACATCCCACAGAAAAATAACTCGACTTACAATGTGTTATTACAATGGGGCCTTTTTAAATTATATAATATTTAAAAAAGGCGTCAAAGTTTTATAAGGGACCATCTTTGGGTGAATATAGCAATAATTCAGGAGCCGACACCAGATAAACACATGTTAGACAACATCAGCTCATGCGGGCCAACATGGGAAGGATCGATTTTGAGACTTGGTGACTTGGTAAGACAACCTGGGAAGAAAATTGCACTTGTGTCGCAGTGCACAAGAGGTATGCGTACACTGGGGGTCTCCCTTACTGTTATAGAAATATATTGACAGTTAATATCGAATGGCTGCCTAGACAACATGTGGCTTCCTTACGTGTCCTCTTCGCCACTCTTCAACTTTCTAGCATAAGTTATTGGTTATCCATATTTTTAATATATAGTGAGACGAATGCTTACCATAGTCTTAACTCACGCAGACAGTAAAGAACAAAGAGGTGATCAGTAAGACATAAATTCAACGGTATTCGTAGAAATAGACTAATTTCCAAAAATATGAAGTGACAAAAATATCACCGATTTCTTTTTCCCAGAGTTATTCACTTAGCCTAAATTAATCATCTTCAACACGTCTTATTGTCAAAATGATCAATAATAGATTATTGAGGAGGATGAGTGTTCCATTCTCCTCCCGTGGTGCTCACCCTCTCGGCCTCGCCTAAATTCAGGGAAATTTATTTTTTTAAACGTGTACTTGTAAGCTGTATTGGCATTTATTTACAAGTTTAAGAAAAGATGAATGTCAAATTATGTCACAAAATCAAAATGAGATTAAATTAATTATAAAATCAACTTCCATGTGAATCACGGGGAATCCCTGCTGAGGAAGTCAAATATTTTCTTATTGTTTCGGACAATTTCATTTCGTGTGAACAAGTTGCTACATCAGACACCTTTAGAAAAGGATTGTTCTAAAACTCAGCTATACGAAATAATTTGGAAACAAATCTAAAACATCTATAAATTATATAATTGTAAGTTTTAGAAGTGTGTCGAATTTGTGTTTTAATGGTTGTTCCAGTCTTTCATTTCCAAATTTTATTATAAAAATGGAAGGGACACATTCACAATACGGTGAGGTGCTTGTATTTAATTGTTGTTAATAATTAATAAGAGTAAAAGATTCTTGTGTGATATCAATATGGTGGTTACTGGCGTGGGTGATAGTGCAGGTCAGTGTTGTGGTGCACCACACTCGTTGCTAGGGTGCCTATCGATTTCCAGTTAATAATGAAATCCTTCTTGTTGGCGGGTTCTCCCGTAGGATTTCCCTCCACTTCCCCTTCCCAAAGACCTGATCATGTTGCCCCCCTTCATGAATTTACACTTGTGGGTGGAGAGCGCCCGTCAGCCAGGCTGTGATTGGTTGGAGCTTATGACATATATTATAGTTCAATGATTCTTTTACAATGACCATTAGAATGACAACAGACACCACCGACCAACCTACTGAAACTTAACCATCTTAGGGTAGAGTTAATTAGGTCAACATTGGTTTGATGAGTCTCAGAGATTTATAGGCAGTGGCGAAGAGATACGTGAGGATGCTTGGGTTAGGATTGGCTGGTTTTCGTATTCTGTTTAAGAAACGACCTCCTGTGCTCCGACCAATCACAGCCTGGCTGACGGTCGCCCAGTTGCATGTTGAATTCACGTTCCTTACTCCGGCAGCAACACATTCCCCGCCCTCAGTTGTTCCCCCACCAGGCACTCTGCTTCTCCTGCTGTGACTCACAACAAACCACCAATTAAAAAAATTGCGAAAATTTTATCATACCATTGAGATGATCGTTTTTTGCTTAATATTGGCATAGCATTGTGGCCACACAGGTACAGAATTTAAATAACGTTTCAAAAACGTCACAGTAAAATTTATTATAAACCGTTATTATCATGGCCACATACCTGTACATACAAACTCTACATACATACATACAAATACAATACTAATACTACTACTACTTTGCTGTCACTTGGAATCGAGCATGACGATCATCCAACCATGATACAACGAAATGAGTTATTAAGGATGTCACCTTCGTTGGTGAGCTCTGAGGTGACTAAAGAGGCCTATACGGAACCGGCAGGGTCGTTCACAGACGATGCACGCGTGAAGGGCTACATCTAGTGCGGGAGGGGCGGAGGCAGTCTTTCCGGCGTTGGCGCTTGTCTGCCTTGGTTTGCAGTCGGGCTAGCTCGTGTGGTGCTCCTCTGAGCATTACGGTGTGGAGTAATTGTCTCCTAGGTGAGGGGGTCGATTTGGCACTTTTTCAGGTTTGTCTTAAGACTATCCTTATACCTTCTCAGTTGCCCGCTAGCATTACGTTTACTATTCGTTAAGTGACTGTAAAGTCGCTGCTTTGGCAGTTTAATGTTGTCCATGCGGGTAACATGGCCAGTCCAACGTAGTTATTCATGGATAATGGTAACCTCGATGGTCCTATACAGTTGGTGTCATCGAAAATACTGGCATTTGTTCTCTTGTCTTCGCAGCAAACTCGGGGGATGGAACGTAGACTACGTTGGTGAAAGTTTTCAAGTGCATTGAGGTGCCTCCTGTATGTGACCCATGTCTCGCTGCCATATAGCAGGGTGGAGAGGACCACTGCTCGATATACGTGCAACTTAGTAGATAATTTCAGCTCCCTACAGCTGAAGACACGGGTTCGGCGTCTGTCAAAGGCTTGAGATGCACATCTGATCCGATGTTGAATTTCTTCATCAATGTCCGCGGTGGAGGACAGGTGGGAGCCGAGATACTGAAAGTGGGTAACATTAGAGAGGGTAGTACAGTTAAGCTGGATAGATGGTGGGTGTGTGTCTGAACCAGGGGAAGGCTGAAAGAGAATCTGAGTCTTACGTACATTCACCTCAAGGCTCAAGGCCGAAGTGTGCATACGCATCTGTGTAGGTGTTCGGGATCTCCTTTAGGTCGCGTGTACATACATACATAATGGTTGCCCCTCGTGTAACGAGGATGGCCGGCCCAAGGGCTACCTAGGCGTGAATTTTTTTAAGGTGTAGAATCTGTCGCCAACACAACAACGACACCCTAAGTAAACGAGTTGCATGACCAAGTGTCAAGGAATAGTCCGAGAAGACTGGACAACTCGCAAACTGCACTGGCTGACCATTACCCCGGAACACGATCCGCAAGTCGATTAACATCCAGGTTCCCAATTACTGCTGGGTAGACAGAGACAAATGGCGTAAAGAAACTTGCCCATAGTTTCACCCTTTCCAGGGATCAAACCCGGGTCCTCTCTCTTGCGAGGCGAGCATACATACATACCTGGGTGCCTAATAATCAGGTGAAGTAACCTGGGGTGGCTAATATTCAGGTGAAATAAGCTTGAGTGCGTAATATTTAGGTGAAATAAGCTGGTGTGCCTAATCTTCAGGTGATTTGTTTCGTTTAATGTAACTCAAACCTTGGCCACGGAGTAGCCATATATTTTGTTGGATTTCGTTAAGGTCATGTCAGGTCAGGTTAAGGTTACACTGTTTACATTTTGATAGGTTAAATGTTACGTTATGTTGATGTTATTTTCTGTTTATATTAGGTCAATGTTTTGCTAGAATAAGGTTAATAATATGTTAGGTTAATGTTATTTCAGGTTAATATTATGTTAGGTTAAGGTTGTTTGGTGAAGGTTATGTTAGGTTAATATTTTATTTAGTTTTATCACCCAAATGACCTCTTAAACGACTCACCACAAAACACTCCCGTACACCTGCCTTCCTCACAGCTAAACTAGTTCCCGTTGTTGTCATTTACTGAGACAACAGGTATGCATCACTGAACTAAACTTAACATTGCACATCAAATTAAATCCTGTAATAAAAGAATACGGATTTAGTAACTCTAAACATACAAATATTATTAATTATAGAAATAATTTTATAATATTAATACTGCACTTGCTACGAGGAGAATGTCATTTACTTTAATATTTGTCTTTTATATAAAAAACCCTCTCGTTTCTATGTCATATTAACATAAATAAATATAAAACCTAAGCCTGTTTGATAATTTTTCCAGCTAATTTAGTCAATAAATCCACCAATGAGAGGCCGTTGTTCGTTCGGTTCATACCTGTTTCCCAGAAATATTAACAACCGGGAACCAGTTTGTTATAGCCGGTCCCTCTGAAATTTGTGAAGGTTTTAAATGGCGAAGAAATGTTTGGTTAAGTTGGTTCTGGTCGTATGTAGTAACTTTTAAAAATGTTATTGGAAGGAGTTAAAATAGTATAAGAAGGATTAGGTGAAAATTGTATAGAAATGTTTTATTTTACCTTGAATTTAGTTAATAATTAGATTAAGTTAGATTAGATTAGGTTTAGTTAGGTTCCTGTTGCTTGTATTAACTCAAATTAGCTTTCATTATATTGAGTTTGATTCATTTAGCAATTGTTGGGTCATATAATTTTGAATTTATTTATTTTATATTGAATTTAGTTAGAAATTAGGTTACGGTCGGTTAGGTTTTTTAGGTTATAACGCGTTTAATCATCAGGTGAAATAAGCTGGGGTGCCTCTAATGAATATAAAATGAAATTACCACAAGACGTGTGCACAAGACCGGGTTGAGACATAACTTCCACAGTACTAACCTTTGAGAGATGACTGGATAAGTTCTAATCAGAACAAGATGTGTACAGTTTCAGTCTTGATTACATATACTGTAATAGCTCCACTAGCCCGCCTGATTCAGTATCAGTTGTTCAGCAAGTGGATGAAGATCTGGATCCACATGTTTGACGCCTTCGTCTAGACTCTAGAGCCAGTGGTTCTCAATCTGGGAGCCATGGCCCCCAAGGGAGCCACGGGAAGAATTTGGGGGAGCCACGGCGAGCTGTTATAAATTGTACGTTTCCAAATAATGTTGGGAATCTGAAATAAACAAAACTTGTATTACTTATTTTGACTTGGCAGAAGAGAATTTTCATTCTTTTTTTGTCATTTTGTTTAATCATAACGACAATACAATTTTAATATTTACATACTCTGGTGCTAATTTTTATTATTTTTTACGGATTATTTAAGATTTCACAGGTCCAGTCCCTGTCTGTGTGACAGGCGCTGGACCGAGCTGCTGAACTGACTTGTTCGGTCACAGCTCAAGATTGAAGAAGCCGCAAGTCCAGAAAACCGTGAGGGCAAACTTTTTCGGAGTGGGGGTTGTGAACTCTTGGAACAATCTACCAGAGAGTGTTGTGACGGCACCGAGTGTGCGCTCTTTCAAGAGAAGACTTGACCAACACTGGAGCGGGTTCAGGTACATTCAGGAGCCGGTGCATGCCCAGTACTTGCCAACAGTGCGTGACAGAGACGTGACCGATCGCCCGGGCGGCTAGCGAGCCGATCAGTGGTGAAGAGGATAAAAGTGAAAAAAAAAAGTGGAAAAGTACGTGTCCGTGTGTCATCCCTTTGCAAGTGGTGATAGGACCGAATGGGGGGGGGGGTTGGGAGAAAAATGAAGGAGTCCAAGAGGATGTTGAAAATTCCTCAAGGGGGGAATGGAGTGAAAAAGGTTGAGAACCACTAGTCTAGACTCTAGAATATACCTAAGTATTACAAGTTTGGCCATTAATTCACTAATCGTGGCAAGGTAACACATCCAAGGATCAATGGAGAAAACTTTATTTAAATTGTATTTCATGTCAGGCTTTTTATTTTTCCCACGAAAATAATCACACCGCAGTTTTGCGCCGATCATCGTCAAAGTTGGCATATCCGGCGCTGTAGTCTACTCCCTTGACCATAATAAGATTGGAGATAAAAACAAATATTAAGAGTTGTGTTTAAGAGGGACAAAAATCCTGTCTTACTTCCACCAGGCTGCCATCACCTAAACTGTCGGATAACAGTAGAACCAGATTGCAATTGACAATATCTAGAGATTGAATTTCAGGGAGGGAAAAAAAACTCTCCTTACGACTGGTATAAATGCCAGTAGTTAGATAACATTCAAGAGAAGCGGATGTGCTGATTTACTTAGGTCCAATTAAGGGTAAAATGATATTCAATATCATCATTTTTTATAAGCATGAATACAACTGTCCTACCTATCAGTTAGTAATGAAGACGACAGAAAGATTGGTATTTATTTATTGTACGCAAATTCCTAAATTTTCTCGATGCTAAATTACGTCTATAAATTAATTTTGGGTAGAAGTTATTTACAATACGTTAGGTGAAAGCAAAGCTATTACATGTAGTATCTTTGGTGAAAGTGTTTGATCATTTTATAAATTTTCCCACGTTAAATGTTGCTGATACCTTGTCAAGTGACTTGTTTTTTTATTACTATCATAATTATTCTCAGTAGTAGTAAAATGATTATTTATTATTTTTGGACATTACTATCATACTATTTACTCCCACCAATGATATTTATGTTTATAATTTTACTTTCTGTAACCCATATTTTCTTATCATTGTTCGCACTGCGTTCAGTACAGTTACTTTTGTCATTATCATTACAGGGTATTACTATCATCATGACCATTTCTATTTTATAATAACTTCATTAATTGTCTTCGCAATCATCATCTTCACGTTCATTGTCATTCGTAGTTAATTCGTCATCTTCTTTTTCTATAAGTTTTAATGTGAACAGAAGTGGTAAGCAGCAACTTGGCGCCTTGGCTAGCTACCGTACACACCCAGCCTGCAATATCGATCTATGGATTTGTGTCTGGGCGATCCCGCTGTTACCTACACTTCCTCCCGCAACACCTGGGCCTCACTTTGCAACACCTACATCCGCTTTGCAACACCTGCTCCTTCGTTTCAACACCTACACCCCAGTTTTGTCTACACTCTATTATTGACAATTTCTTCTCTTACTTTTGAGAAATCTTCCATTCATTTGTCTCCTTTACAACACCCACTACACCCGTGCATCTCTACACTTCCCTGACAACACCTAGTATATTTCTCCACCTTCCTATCAACTGATCTTTCCTGACAACGCTTAGATTAGTTTTTCTACCTTCCTGACAACGCTTAATTTGCTTTACTTCTATACCTTAACAGCACCTAATAAACTCCAACTCAGACCACTCCTTGACAACACTAAGCTTAATCATACATCTTCCCGAAAACACTAAGCTTACTCATCAACTTTTCTGACAACACTAAGTTTACTCACCCACCTTCCTGGCACTAAATATACACTCCCCCCCCATTCCTTCCTGACAACACTTAAGTTTATTCCTGCAACTTCCTGACAACACAATATGCTCTACACCTCCCTGCCAACACTTTCTATAACATTTAAATGCGTTAATATATATATATATATATATATATATATATATATATATATATATATATATATATATATATATATATATATATATATATATATATGTATTTATTTTATTTTTTTCCGAGTTTATTATGATGCTAGTTGGTGATGTTTAATTAATCAAAGTATATTATGCAGTTATGACAAATTTGTTATTTTATATAAGTATGTTTATTCAAAGCTAGATTACGGCCTCATCGTTACTCTGTACACGTGACAAGATAAAATGCTTTTCAAATACGTTTTTATCTATCATATCTAGGTTATTGTACCACAGTATTATATGATACTGTGTCTGTATTTCATGCGTAAATCTGTACTTGTATTTATGTATTATAGGACTAATCATTGTGAGTAGTAATGATGGTGACATTGTTTTACAAGATGTGTGTCAAACTCGGGCATCATATAGCTCCTAAAATACGCACTGTGACCTTTAATACTGACTTCAGAAATACGAAATAATATTACAGTTGATCTCTTAAACTAGTATTTACTGAATAGAAATATAGCCATCCCCGGTTAACTTGAAATTTGTTATAAAGTAGAACTTTAGTATATCGACAGTCTGTGATACAGATTAGATTTTCTCGGATTACAATACAACAGTCTTTATAATAAAAGAGTTAGATGCAGATCATGTGGAAAATAACTATATATTGTTTCTATCTAAATAACTCGATTCTTCACATCATCACTGTCAGCCATTTGAACTTTGAACTACGAATTGTATCACTGAAGGTAAAGAGTACAAATACTTAGTAAATTACAGTTTGTTTTCGTATATTACATAATTATCAACTCATGAATAATCTTGAACTACGGTAAATATATATGAAATTATATGATTCCTCTTTAGAACAGGGGCAGCAGAGATGCCATAAATAACTAGTGAAAACACGTGAACAAGCCCACTTATGTTATACGAGATGACTGAAAAAAATGTGAAAGCAAGTTTGGAATAAGATCTTAGGATAGGTTTAATAGTGCTAATTACCTAGTACCAAATCTCTTACACACCCTTAATGTATAAAAACTCAGTTAGTTCGGCGAAAAATATATTTCATCAACCCAAGTAAATGTTAGTAAAAAAAAATGGTGGGGAAGAATAATGTGAATTAATGTAATATAAAGCATCTCCAAATCAGGTTTCATTACTCTGAAATGTCACTCTGTTATTGCCTGTGTTAGGTGTTCGAGGCGTGGGAGTACGATAGTTGCTATATACGTGGACATTTTGGATAAAACAAAAACTGTGGATCAAAGCTTGAGCCCCTTGGCAGCTTCATGGTAAAACCACTACTTCTTGAAAATCGAACTTGGCTTTGAGATGGCTGGTTACGCCCATCCTCTTTTACTGAAATATACTACCTTTTATAACCTTTGAATATATATTTTAAGAATAATTATATGTAATAAGTTTTATAAGGCTTGTGAATATTCGCGTACGGTATTATTTAATATTTTTTACAAGGGAAGAGAACCATCGGGCCGGCGCAAGTATCTGCCATTGTTTGGAAACGGCCATATTGAATCCTCGTCACTGGTGGCTACTCTCTGTAATTATATTCCGCTAGCTCAGGTATGAATACGATAGTCAAATGTATACCAGAATGAAGTATTTGTATGTTAGATAACTTTAGGCAGTGTTAAGGTCAATATCTCTTTCGTTTCGGTGAAATATAAAGCGTAAAATCGAAGGCCCTGGATCTTTTAGGTTACGATAACTTATTATGCATTGAGTTTTTAAGATAACGGGAACTGAAAAAGACTTGGTAACGAACTTTAATCCTATGTGCCTCCTATTTACCTTTTTAAGTTGTAGAGCTTTGGTGATTGCCAGACAGTGGTGGTATGAAGTGCTGTAGTGGATGTTATTAAAAATTTATCATGGGGCAACACCCGCTGAGGTTCCTTCCACCATAATACTGTCCTCTTCAAATACACACTTGAACTAAACCAACAGGAACATCAGTAGCCATGGTTTGAGGGTATAATTCATATTTATGTAATTCAAAGTTTCATGTGATAGTTTTTTTTATTACCGTTGTTGAAATACAGTATAATGATGAATGCATTGTTTGGTTAATATGTAGTCTTTAAGGCATGTATTTATTAACTGGCCTTCAAAAGTGGAATGTATGCCTAAATTCTCCTTTTATTTTGTATAATTGATATTCGTATAATTTAATTCATCTTGATAATTCAGCAAACGAACAAAAACTCTCACCCACAGATTGTTTGTTGTGCTTGGTTGTAACGACAAACTGTATGCCATTGTGTACCCGAATGGTTTAGGTACGTTGTTTGTATACCTGCTCTGTCTTGGTACATTTACCTCCAATTATAACGTGTACAGTACCTGGCATTTTTTGTGAGACGTGGCACCACCATACAACAGATAGGAGCCAGTGATGTTTTTCTACGTCGTAAACAAAACAGTGGTGCCACATTCACAAAACACGCCAGCCTCTGTACCCGTTACAATTGGAGGTAAATGTACAATGTCTATACAAGCTGAATCAAAATAAACTTGTCTATATGAGTCAAATACTGAATGAGGCTTCAATTAGGTTCAACAAGTTCATATTCTTACTTCGACTCACTTAGATCAGCTCGAGAGTTCACGAAGATTTTGATGAAAGTTAATTTCAAGATACGACTTTATATTCTCGTTACTGCACGTGTGTTAATATACCGATGGAGGAGCAGATAGGCTAAAGCCTCTGCATGCTTAGCAGACACTGGCAAACAAGAACAAACCATCACTAAACTAAGTATGATTTTTGGCAGGAATGAACCACTAAATATTGCAAAAATTTGGTGGTCTTAACTAGTACACTACCTTACATAAGAATGGAGGAAACTGCAGCGGGCCTATTGGCTCATACTGGGCAGTCCCGTTTACACCCAACCCCTATAGCTCATATAAGCATCCAACCTTTGAAGCTATTCAGCGTATTCGAGTTAATGACAGTATTTGGTAACTTGTTCCATTCATCCACTACTCTGTTTCCAAACCAGTGTTTACCTATTTCGCGCCTAAATCTAAATTTGTCTAATTTAAAACCATTGTTATGAGTTCGCTCCTGGTTGGATAGTTTGAATACCTTTGTAATGTCCCCTTTGTTTAGCCCTGACTTCCATTTATACACCTCTATCAGGTCGCCCCTCACTCTACGTCTCTCGAGGGAGTGCAAATTAAGATGCTTTAACCTGTCTATACTCAAGGTTCCTAATGCCTGGGATTAGTCTTGTCATTCTCCTCTGAATTCTTTCCAAGGATTCTATATCCATTCTGTAATACAGTGACCAGAACTGAACTGCGTAATCCAGGTGTGGTCTCACAAGCGCAAGATACAGTTTTAGGATGACCTCGCTAGTCTTGTAACTAACACTCCTTTGTATGAACCCAAGTACTTTATTAGCCTTGTTACGAGCAAAAACACATTGTTTACTTGGCTTAAGGTTCCTACTTATCATTACTCCTAAATCTCTCTCGCAGTCGGATTTCTCTATGGCATCGTTGTTCATCTGGTACCTGGTTTCCCTGTTTACATCTCCTATACTGAGCACTTTACATTTGTCCACATTGAATTTCATAATTCAGTGAAGCTTTGTTTTTCATTTTCCGTGAGATATAGAACATACTGTACTTGCTGTTTCATAAGAAACTTAAAAAGTGGTTATTTGACCAGGACCCGTGGGATTGTTTATTTGGCTTGCTTAAAAAAAAAATCTGGATAATGAAGCTCCATGCATGTGCTCTTACTGACTAGGGCTTCCTAATGAAAGGTATGGTTTGTCCAAAACCCCAAGTTGGAATAGTAAAACTTGAATGATCCCATATATGACATGTATTTTTCTTGATAATTTGCCTTTTGAATATACTAGGATGAATATTAAATATAATCTTGTGCACAGGGTCTCTTTGAAGGATGGCATGTGTAACACTCAAACGATCACTGGAATTTGACCCCCTTCACCATGGAAGTTGTACTCCTCGGCCCCATAAGAGACGACGATGTGTGCCTATGTGTGTTTCACCCCAGAGTGCTGCTGCAGCAACTGCACGTCACACTGAGTCACAGTCACCATTTTCTGAGGTTACACCTACTCTTACCCCAGGTAAATACATTTGGGATGGTTTTTGCTCAAATTCATGTTTTATTTTTTTTTATTTTTTTTATTTTTTTATTTTTTTTACTTTTGATGACATGCAACAGCAGATTTGATATGTATTGGGTAGTTAATAAAGATAAGTGTGTGTTACATGTTTGGACTACTTCCCAAAATGTTCTGGTAATGATACAGCAGAGAGGTACAGCACTTCTTAACTTATATACAGCAGTTTTTATTTTTACTTGTTTTGATCCATTTTTTTTTATGTATTTACAGTATACATAACAATGTTGACTTGCGCGATTGTTAAATGTGCGCAGTTATGTTTACTTATTATTGCTGTAACTAAACTTATTTTTCTTAAGCATTCATCTTGAAACTACTGAATGCTCTTGAATGCTAATTTATTAAGCCCAGAGTACTTAAGATTTGTAGGTTTTATATTGATTTCTAATTATGAGCACTTAAGATATATTCTTTACAGAACAAATTGCACAAAATGTTCGGGAGGAGATCCGTAGGCTGAAGCGCCGCAAGATCCTACAGTGCGGTGAGCGTAGTATGGAATGTGAGGGTGGTTATGAATCTCCGGCTTCCCCTCCTTCTCCGCCATCCCCTGCCTGCCCTACCTCGCCTTCACCATCACCTGCTCCATCATCCACTGCAGGAGTTTCCTCTCTTCAACACCATCACCATCATCAGTCATCTCTTGGGAAGGATAAACCTCTTTTCACATTCAGACAGGTACTGTACTACTATGAAAGCTGTTGTTTTTTTTTTAATAAATAAATGTCTATATTTACTGATGTGCTGTATATATACTGTATTTTTCTGCTTGGAAGAAACACCTTTTATTACAAAAATATACCTTGAAAATTACAATGCATCTTCGCTAGTTGATGAGTTGTAGCAGAGATTTTCTTAGGGTCAACTGAAATCAGCCCCTTACAAAGACTGTTACCTCATTACAGTACTTAGCAATTACAAGTATTCTCTATACAGTTCTATAAAACAACTGATTTAACTGATATTGTTGATATACTGCAAAAAATACGATTATTTACTTACTCAGTAGGTAAAAATTAAACGGCTGCAGCTACACAACCTTTGCTGCTGTGCGGTTTGTTTACTAATGGCAGTGGTGCGGCAGTGCCATCTGTTGAGGAATTGCTAAAGGTTGTCGGTTGGTCTCAAAGTGCAGGAATGTTTGTTTCTTCATACTTGAATGTCTAGAACTTTGTTTATTCACTACTAGGCCTTCACTGGTGTCAAGCCATTTTCATTCCTGCAAATTATCTCTCTCATCTATGGCAGCTGTATCAAGGAGACATAAATATAATATCGCATTTAAACTTGAAGTAGTGCGATATGCCAAAGAACGTGGAAACGGCAAGAGACAAAATTCGCTCCACCACCTACTGAGAAGATGATTCGCCAGTGGAGGAAGCAGGAGAAAGTATTAAAAAAAAGCGAATAAACAGAAGCATAATCTTCGTACAGTACCAGCCAAATGGCTTTGCTTTGAAGAAAACTTGAAAACATAGATATTAGACCAAAGAAACTTGGGTTTGGCGGTGACGACGAAGGTGATCTTATGGAGGCAAGGTTTGCAGCAAACACAGGGGCAGATGACTTCAAAGGAACTGCTTGTTGGTGTTTTTGCTTCGTGAAACGAAATGGCTTAAGTTTGCGAACACGAACAAAGTTAGCTCAGAAAATGCCTGCAGAATATGAAGAGAAAATATTAGATTTCCGTAAATTTATTATTAATGTTAGAAAACAGATGTGCCATCTAATAAAAGTGTAAATGTAAAAGGAATTAAATCGGTGATTGTTAAAACCACTGGACACGAAAAGACTCGCTACACGGTAGTTTTAGCTTGCTGTGCTGACGGGACCAAACTACCGCCTCTGTTAATTTTCAGGAGATAAACATTACCGAAGGAAAAACTGCCAAATGGATGGATGGATGGATGGATGAAGAAGGTGTCAAGGTATGGTTGGATAAAGTGTGGTCCAAGCATCCTGGTGGCCTGCTACGAAAGAATTAACTGCTAGTATGGGATCAGTTCAGTGCTCACAGGACTGAAAACACCAAAAGGCTAGCAAAGGGGCTCAACACACAGCTGGCAGTAATTCCTGGTGGCCTGACTTCCCAGTTATAGCTGCTAGATGTCAGCATTAATAAGCCATTTAAGAATAACATGAGGGAGCAATGGAATAAATGGATGACGGGAATCATGATATGACGCCGACTGGAAGGATGAAACGTCCATCTACAGTATATCTGAAGTGTGTGAATGGATTCTGAAGTCATGGTGTGATATTAAAACTAAAGTTATCGTTAAGTCTATAAAAAAATGTGGTATCAGTAATGCTATGGATGGCACTGAAGACAACTTGTTGTACGAGCCTGGTGATGAATCCAACAGTGGCGAGTTCTCAGGATTTGAAGATGAATAAAATGCTTTTGACTGTTTTACTGGACATGATATTTAAAAATTTACTTTTATTTTTATTGTTTGCTTACCAAAATTTTTATTTCAACTGATTTTTACCGAGTTGTTTTTTACTTTTTTTTATTTATTTATTCTGTAAATGAAGATTTTTTGTTTTATTTAGACGTTGATATACAGTACATGTTTACTTTTGCTTACCTTCTACTGTTGGAAAATATTTCCCGTCGTTGTCATACCGACAAAAACAAGAGAAAGAATGTAAACACTACAGCCCGCTAGACGAGGAGGTGACCAGGTGTATGAAATGAGTGCTTGTTGAAAATGACGACTGATCAGCAGTTCTAAGTGAAGATATTCAAAGAGGTGTGTGTACTTGTGCCAAAAGGGCTGTGTATCAAGCAACGGTTTCACTGGTGTTGGCTAGTAAGTATAAAAAGGTTTTTTTCCTAGAATTTCATTTCCAAAATCAGGGTGCGTCTTCCAAGCTGAAAAATACGGTACTACTGTACATTGTTTGTGAACAACTTTATGAGTGTAAGAAAAATAATTAAAGATATGCAATATTGGGTCTTATAATTTTAAATATACTTAGTAACTGCAGCACAATATCTGTAGTTCTTTTGGCAAGTTGTCCAGTCTTTTCGGACTATTCCTTGACACTGGGTCATGCAGCTCGTTAACTTAGGGTGCGGTTGTTGTGTTGGCGACAGCTTCTATGCCCAAATTCACGCCTAGGAGGCCCTTGGGTCGGTCATCCTCGATCTCGAGGAGCTTCCATTATATATGCTGGTAAATCCACTATTGCAGGTGAATCTGATCTGTGAGCAGTTACTGCGCGAACGTGAGGTGAATATCCGTGAAGAATATGATAAAGTTTTGGCATCCAAACTTGCCGAGCAGTATGACTGCTTTGTACGATTTACCACAGATCAGATACAACAGAGGCTCTCTCAAGCAGCCCTTCCCAGCTGTAAGTACAGTAGTAGCTTTTATGGTTACATAATTATAGTAGTACAGGTATTTTAAAATCTTCCTGGATATTTTATTACAAGCAGTATATATTTGTTTCATAGCTCATGAGATAAAGCATTCTCTTCACAAGCAAATGGTCATGGGTTTGATAACTGACAGGGGGGAGGAGGGGGGATTTCCTTCTTGTATACTCTGCAGTATGAGTACCTGTACACTATCAATTGCACTTGAGTACCCCTCCAACCATTGTGCACCATGCTGAAGAGGCTTAAGTGGGAAAAAATAAAATTTAACTGATTTTGTATTTATAGCTTGTGCAAAATTTTTCCCTTATAAAATGTTGTCAAGAGATACCTTTGTTTCATCTAATGCCTTAACTATTGATAGGACACTTTTCAACACTTGTTACACATCACCTTCCAAAAAATTTCTCTGGAAAGTTATGTATTTAAACCTGATATATTTATTATTACTTTGCAGATCTTTCTTAAGGAGACTCTGCTGTTTTGATATGGACTATGTGCCTTTGGAGGTACAAAGAATGAAAAAAAGGAGTCTAGGAAAGTAATTCCCTGGAAGTGTTAACTTTGTACATAGGAAGTATCTCAAGCTCTGGAAGGAATCCAAGTGTTCAGGAAACAAGTGTAATAAATGGTTGCTGGATGAAATGGATATAAACCTCATTTCAGTTTTGACAAGTGATTGCCAAGTGATGTGTTTGGTATGAAGGTGTAAATCAGTATATCCATATCATTCAAAGCTGTACATGAGTACAGTGGTCTTGGGTTAGCCAAGACACAAACTCAAGTCACTTACAGAACAGCAAACAATATAAGTTAGGAGGGACTTACACGGCAACCAGAAGTGGCAGCTTCAGTGACAAGCGCAAGTTACCTTGTGGTGCTCATTCTGTGTGGCATTCCTCAACAGTTGTGTGTATATACCTTCTAACCATTCAGTTGCCTTTCACACTTTTCTTGCTGTAAGTGGTACTTTGTGGAGTGAAACTCAAGAGATGTAGTGTACCTATTTGGTATAACCGGTAACTTAAAACCCTGTCTGCGAGAAAAGTTGTGATAGACTGTTGAGAGTTCTTCTAGTACAGGAAGACAGCCACAGCTGCAGTCACATTGCCTTTATGTGAATAGTAATCTATAGGGTAGTGCTCTATATTGCCTGTTTTATGTTAATACAATTATTTTTGGCCAGCTTCTCTTAAACTTGTATGTTACTGATAAATGTGACTTAAAGTAGGTTCCTAAACCTTATACATTTATATTAGGAAGGAGATACCCTGGTAATGTCTTCCTGTATTAGAACCTTAAATAACTTGCCCCTCTTATTAGAAGGGCGGTATTAACCCACCATACAAATCAATATCTCGCCTATGCTGTTTTATTAGAGATCTGTTGTATGATAATTTACTTATGGGTGTTGTGTCTAATGTGGGTAATATGTACTCTAGGCATAATAAGGTGTTAGGTTCAAAGGGTTACATTCTGCTGTAGCAGGAAGAACCTGTATGAAGTGAGAAAGGCAGTAGTGTTAGTTGCAATGAATCTTGACGTGATTGTTTCACCGTATGAATTTATGACTAGTGTAGGATAAGTTTTTTTTATAATGTACTGGGGCTTTTTAGTCTCATCATGTATGTACAGTGCACGTTTGAAAGCAGGACTTTGTATGCTGCATATTCATTGTCAAGCATTGTTAAAGCAGTAAGTCTGCATTTATATGATACTTGGTGACATTTTGGGTTTTTGTAAGGAATCACTTAGTTGTTAGTGCATTTCATTTCCTTGATTTTTCCTTTCATTGAAGACTGACATTTGTGTGGTAGTTTTATACTACTTCTTCATTCTAGTGTCATTTGTCATATACAGTTAGGCATCATTTGCTATTGTATAAAACAGCTTCTCTTCATTTTAAATAAGCCAAGCTACTAAGAAGATAGCAAATGGTTCATTTTCTCATTTTCCAGCAAAAATTAACATGCTGTAATCTTGGCTTCCTTGTCTGCAACTTTCCTTTTAATTTTATAACCATCAAACATTTGTTATTAAGTTAGCTGAACATATTGTTGCATGAACTCTTGAAGTAAAGAGCAATTGTTTACTATTTATTTTCTTGTTCTCACTTTTTTACTGTACTTGTATTATTAAATATACTTGTTAATGGGAAAGTATGGCATTTGTATTTTTATTCACATACCAGAATTATATAGGAATTGTCTTTTTTGTGAAGCATTCCTTAGGCACCATCTGCATCCTAACCTTTGAATTTTGAGAACAATCCTGCATGTGATTTCCACACTGTCCTGTATTATCAGTTCCCAAAGAAGTAATGTGAAATTTCAGCTCATTAGACACTTCTTATTTGTATGATGGGAGTTAAACATTTGTGGTGTGGTAAAAAGTTAGTATTCATCAGCCTTTGTATTTATTTTTAAAAGTAGAAGACTTAAGAGACTTTCAGCAGAGTTGAAGGGGATGCAAACAATGATTTAAAAGTTTTATGAACCTAGTGAAGTACAGTACTTTATTCTCATTAAGATACAGGATGGCCATTCACTTGTTATTCGTTCTTACAACTGTAAAAGATGTGTCTGGCCATGGTGCTCTTGTTTCCAGTATAGTGCCTGGGATGTCTATCTGGTTTACCTCATCAATTCACACAGCCTAAAATCACCCATCAACTACACATCCATGCCCCCAAAACCACTTAACATCAAGTTCTCTGGTCATTCACACACTCCTCATTCTTTACTAGATAGAAATAAAGTAGATTCAGTGCTTTTAAATAAGATGCCAACACTAACAAATTCATGCTTTGAATAGCCAGAAAAATAGGAGGCTTAGCTTGAAGAGGGCCACCCAAAAATGAGAAACAATTCTTAGGAAAATTATATACTGTACTGAAAATAGAACCACACAAAGATGACTAGCACCAGGTGATATGCATTATGTATGAGTATATTAAGCATAGCTAGGATATTTTTTTTCTCTTGGGAGGGGACCATACAAAATCTAAACTTTTTTTTCTCGTAATTTCTGTAATAACAAGTACTGTATACAAAGGTGAAGTAGAACTAGGTAGTAACAAGCAGGTGAAATTAAGGAAATATACTAAAATTGAACAAAAATCTGAAGGATTGCCTCAGGTTTGGTGATACAATATGTGTTTGTGATCATGACTGTTAAAACCTTTATAGTGTATGTGCATGGTGAAGTAGTTCATGCAGAGCCAATGTAGGATAAAAGCTTGTGATAACATGGCTTTTCGGTGTTCTATCACAAGAGCAACAAATACTGTAAGTGAATGATGAGCAGGTTAAAAACGAGGATTTTCTCCAATGTCTAACAGTATTATAGTTTATACCAACAAAACAGCAAGGATATCAGAAAAAAAGAAAACTACAGTCGAGGGATAATAATGCTTTACAGTAAGTACTGTACTGTATTGTATTGTACTAGAAAAGGAACCTGAAAATATATGGAATTTTCTATTCTATACACTGATAATTTCCCTCCCCCCCCATATTTTCTTTCTGCTTTTCAATGTTTCAATTGTTTTTCTTTGTTATTACCGTATTTATCAGAAATAAAATCTGCTTTAGGAATTAACTGTGGAGACTCCTTGGGGACCAATTAAGAAACTTTACCTTGATTTAATGACAGGTCAATGGCCAAAAAATATGCAAATTTTAAAATCATCATGGGTTATCTCAGAGACTGTTAAATAAAAACTATTCAAATTGGCAACATCTGTTAGAACCCTTCATTGATTCATGGAATAAAAATACAAGTGAACGGTGTTATCAAGTTGAGTTTCAATAGCAATAGCACAGCTGGGGGTGAGGTATGTACACCATCTTCAATTGCCTTGTTCTTTACTGAGTTTACTTTTAGTTTAACAAAGCTTGGAGTACAGTTTGCCTATTCTGAGTAATTCAGTCGGGTCTTGACACAAAGTGGTATTGTGGGGTATGGGATGTTTGGGTTCACACTCGGGATGGGATGGAGAAAGAAAACTCACAATGTGCTCTCTGTATACATGTTGTATTGGATGTACAATGCAGCTTGGTGCTGGGAAGTGGCAGCGTGGTTACAAGCGTGATGTAAAGAGAGCTGGATGGTGAGGATGCTCAGAGAAGGACAGCTTGTGGGTCGCCATGCTCGCCGGCGGGAGCGAGGGCCGCCAAACAGGTGGAGGAGGAGCGAGGGCCGCCAGGCAGCGGCGGAGGAGGTGGTGTAGCTTGCTGCGGCTGTAGCTAGAAGAAGAGAGAGGTCACCACGAGGTCAGGTCTTTTATAGCGGGGGTAGGCATGGCTTAGTAGTTGACCTCCGTGATGTATGGCGGCGCTGGTTGACCCAGACCACAAGGCATACCCTAGTGAATTCGTGGGGTCGGCTACTCAGCGACAAACAGCGTTTGTAGGGGAGAAATCCACTACAATGGAACTGTTGTTAATCAGTTGCGGTTTATATTTTTAATTGTCGCTACTAACTTATCTCTGATAAATTTGTGCATAGTTTTATACTGCATTTTAATAAGAATTTAGTTAAGCTCGGTTTAAGATAGGTAATATTCGGGTGGTTTTTTTGAGGTAATATTTTGGAAGAGGAAGCAAACAGTTAAACAGGCGTAGTTATCAGTTGCCGTGTATAATATTATCGCCACTAATTTACCTCTGTTAGCTTACTCTGTACGGATGTAAATAATTAAAACAAATTAGTGTGAGATGAATAATAATTTATTGTGTGTTTATTAATGCGAGGGAGCAGTGTGGGGGAGGGGAGGGAGCAACAGTGGTGGCACCTGTCGTCGTGGACGGGAGTGAGGTGGCACAACAAACAGTGAGTGTGTCCAGCACCATCCTTCAGTGCCCCTCCTCCTCCCACTTTAATTGTTAACCATGGCCTCCAAGAACCTCACCCACATCTTCATGATCATGAGGGATAAAGCCATACAGAGGAGGAATATGTACAAACGTGTGGAGGTGAGTTAACACTGGGGGAGTGGCCGACTGACGTACGTGGTAGACAATAGTCTTGGAAGATGTGGCAGATTGTCGTGGCATTTAACTGATCCACTCAACTAATAATTACACTGACACATGGATGACTGATGGAATACTCGTATGATATGTTGTGGTAATGATATAGTGATCAATGCTACTTCTGTTTATTAGCTTTGATGAAGAAAATTTTTTTAAACTGTAAAACAGTAAGGTACAGAGTATGTGAATACTGTACTTTTCTGAGGGAATTTTACCAAGACATTTGTTTTAGTTTAGTTAATGGAAGTGTAATGGTGGAACAAGTAAAGTATGAATGTGAAAGTCACTTTTAATGTAGATCATAAAAATTGACTAAATTTAAACCCTTGAATTACGACAGCCAACCTGGTGATAATACTCTACCAATCCTGTGCACCTAAACCATTATTTTATAGAGTACAGGAATGTAAAAAACAATTTCTTCCATACATTGAAAATAGCCCAAATTGTAACTTACCATAAAATAGTATTTTCATGGTTTTCTCCCAGAAAATCATGTGTCCAACACCCACACTGTAATAAGTTTGTTGTTCAAGTCGTCATGATGTTGTCTCACTATTAATATCTTATGGAAGTGGGAAGTCATTATTTTGTAAGCATGTATTGTCCTTTTTATTTAATATTTTGTTTTACTCTTTTGTTAGTGAATTACCTCGTTATATACTGCAATACAAAACAAAATAGAGCTATATGTTAAGTTCTATATGAGCTGTATAAAATTTAATGGTGTATCAAATGGTAATGTTACGCCATTTATTAACAATGTGAACCAACCAGACTTAACTGTCAATCTTGGGATGCTTTTCAATTAATTTATGTAAGGTTAGGTAGGTTTGGTATGTTTGTTAAGACTCTTTTTAAAGGAAGTTAACTATATATTAACCTCGAATAAAAACATGGAAAAATTAAGTATATATGTTACATTTCCTTCTGTAGACACAATTTATTCTTCAGGTAAGTCTAAAGTGTATAGTTTAGGTGCAGAAGAATGGTAAAATATTGCTGAGTCAACATTTTATCTCATTGACCAAGGATAGGTACAATATTCTACTTCCTGAATTGTTATCCATGTACTGTAGCCGGGATTATCTGGTCAGGGTCATAGATATACCAGATCTTCATAATATCCTTCAAAGCAAATGTTGTTGAAGGTCCCATATATTTATATTAATACAAAATAAAACTGTGGAGTAAAACTTAATATGTACCAGTATCTAATTTTTCTGTTGGTGCCTCAATGTTAAAATATGTTCCTACCCTTATTTCTACAATCCCGTTTCTTCCTCACTGTAAGTTAGCACCTATGTAGAGTACCTGCCAATGTCTGCTAAATGGTAGATAACATTTATTCCTGATAATAAAGGAGGAAAGTAGGGTAATACATAGATAGATAGCAGTTAGATAAGAAGGTTGTGGTACAGAAATTGATTTGCTGTAGATCTCGAAAATAACATACAGGTACATAACATAAGGTGAGCCAATACTGGTAGATATATTGACTAATGACAGTATACTGTACAGTAAATGCATATTGATTTGCCTAAATGTCTAGAAGGAAGCGTTAGGTATGGAATTTAAAGGAAGTTTATCGTAATCATACGTAATCTAATTAAACTAACTCGGGACATATTTTCAGATACGGTATTAGTACTGTATGCTAAATGTAACTTTGAATATGCTTTAGTATTATATTTTATAAGCATTATATTGTTTTATTCTTACAGGCTTATTCAGATCAAGATTCTCTAGTGAACAGTGAAGAGCTGGAGAATGGCCTTAGTGGGATAAGTGATGGGCATCTTCCTGACTGGGTGGGGATGGTGGAGGAGGTTCAGTACAACATTATCACACTTAAAGAGAAGACAAAACGAGTGGCGGCTTTGCAGAGTAATTTGGTGAGGCGTCCCTCGCTGGATGACAACACTGAAGAGGAGCGACAGTTAACTGCACACAACAATGAAATCAGACGGGTCAGTATAGGGTGTTGTCTACTTTAAGAACTTGTGTTGGTTCTTGGAGACTTGTGTATTGTATCCATCATACAGTATGTACAAGTTGCAGTCTAGGCTAACTCATGGCATTGATAGTTGGCACTAATTAAACAGTTATTTTAACCCTCTTTATCAAAGCCTTAGTCACATAAACATGGGTTTGGGAGAACACCATAGTAGAACACATGTGGTAAGACAGGTAGAGAGATCAAAGGAGGGAAAATCTGTGATGCTCTTGATTTGGGCCATCCTAAGCCTTTAGTGGGAACAGGTTGGCAAAAGTGAAAGAGGAGTCTGTTTTTGCTGCTAAGTTGGGATTAGGGTAAAGTTAGTACCTATATAGAACGATAAACAAACACCTGTATATAAACTTGAATGACCTTTGTGACCTTAACTTCTCTACCACCAGACCCTGGAGAGATGTCAGATGCTGATGATACAAATCAAACACAGTGGAGGAGGACAAGGACGAGAAGAAACACTCAACAAGAATGTTGTTCGCTCCTTAGGGTTTGCCTTACAAGAGGTGAAAAATGAATTTATAACAACATGTTCTGCATTTACCAATTGTAAGTCTTATTTCATAGCTAATCTATATTTTAGAATCCTTAGATTTTATGGAAAAAACAAACAAACTAATCTTTCTGTTGCATAAGAATATTGTCATCTCCTGTATTAATTTTATTATTTGAGGAGGAATTTAAAATGAAAATGTTACCGGTATGTACTGTATTGGAATGGACAACTTATAAATTCTTTGGGAAGAAAAAATAATTTAATGAATACAGTTCTGTATACAGTATATGTATCTCAGACTTATTAATTGTTATTGCATGAAAAAGGAGTCATCTTATTAATGTCCATCAGTGTATGTATTTCCAGTCATAAGAATGTTTTTTCCCCCAGCTATGAACAACATAAAAAAAACAAGTTCATTTGTTCATGAAGGAGGGGGCGACTATGACAGTGATTATGGAACATTTGAAGGTGGCTCTGGTGCTAATCAGAATCAGTGAGTATGATTCATAAACACAGTATGGGCAAGGAATGTTGTTTTTGGTGTTACCTCCTTTAGAAAATTGATCTGTCTTTTTAGCTGTGCCCATTTTTGGTAACTGCTGTATTTTGTAGTACAGGTATGTACTTGATTGGTTGCTGTGTGAGTGGCAGAGTGACTTAACAAGCAACTAGTAATCAATTAACTATTACAATTTGTGACATGCTAAGGACACCATAAGTTGTTGGAGCTTACTTGACAAGTCAATGTGAGTTTGTGCTCACCATGTTTCTGTAAAAACGATTAGAACTCAAAAAAACAATGTGAGTAAGTTTTAGTAATTGTGGTCCCTACAGAGTAAGCAGGAGGCAACTAGATTTACACCATTCCATTCAGTCATGTACAGTCTACATACAATACTCCTTTGCCAGCCACCGGCATTATGTTTTAGAATTTTCCTGCAGTTGGCAAAACCATGGTTGGAATGGACATATATTTGGTTTATTTCTGCACTACTGGTGGCATTTTATTTTCACAACCCTTCTTAAAACAACTATTGGTAGTATTGTGTTTTAAATCAGTTCTTTTGAGGGATATCAATAGTGGTGTACAGTACTATGATATAACATAGATCGTCTTAGAATCGTAATTTAATACTCAATCTCCTCTTTAGGAATTGGTAGTAAAAAGATGGTTAAGGCCTAAACTTGTCCTAACAAAAGACACATGTCCTGTAGTTGTAGTGTTAGAAAGTGAGGGTGATGATATCAATGACATTCCGTATGAATAAGTAGATTACCGGGTTATGAATTGCCACTATTTATTAGAAATGTGAACAAGATTAGTTTATATTGTCTCTCCGAAATGATGTCTTGGTTTTGGTAGTACGTACTGTACTGTACTGTACATAACGAAATGATAAAATCGACTTTGATGGGATAATAAATGAATGATGATAATAATAATAATTAACTGTTTACTGGAAGAACATAGCAAGCAGTCAATGACCCCGAAAATGAACAATGGACCGTGATGATAAATGTGACATATGGTGACATAAAGGAGTGGGTCACTTAATTAACAAAGGATTTAGTATACAAGTTAACTATCAATCTGGTAGTTATGCCAGTACAGTAGTTAAAACCTGCTCGGTCAGCTGTTTTATGGTGCCTACAGTACCTTTCCCACAGTAATGCATGGTTTTACATGTAGATATTTGAGGCAACTCTGGCCACTGTCCTGGCTAGTCATAATGTGTACAGTTTTCACAAACATCACAAGTGGTTATTGTATTTCTACTTGTTAATTTAGCACTTTCCTATCACTTTCTACATTTGTATTGCACTATTGTGGTTATTCGTCCAATTCTTTGAGGTTTCTGTACCCATTCATCCATCTATAGTATTACGAAAATGAGAAAGAAGTCAATATTATAAATTTGTAGATGAAGAAATATTATGCATCTTTTAGTACAATAGGGATGAGGCTGAATATTATTTAGTTACTCCTGGAATACCATTTATTGCAGTGGTTCAGGAATTTAAACTGAAGGAAATATGTACTGTGTGCATTATCATGAGTGTACTGTATCCATGTGTTGGTAAAGAGCAGATTTTATATACAACACTGTTTCATAATTGGCAGAGCGTGGACACAGGACCAGCTGATGTTTTTAGCTGACAACACAACACAGGTGCAAGAAAGAGACCGAGCTGTCCAACACATCCTACAGTCCACGGTCCAGCTCAACCAGCTGTTCCGGGATGTGGCGCACCTTGTGTCTGAACAGGTATGTGCAAATAACATTCATTGAAAAAAAAACATGTCTATTTAAAGTAGATTTATTCTTTTATTTACTTCGTGTTTTTAAGGAGTATGAAGATCTGGTGTCACAATCCTATTATTGGTGTGAAGTTACCATCAACCATATTAACTTCATCTTCCTCTGGTTATGTTTCTGAATTTAGCTCAGTAGCTTTAAACAGGTGAATGTCCTCACCCTCTCATTAAATACTTTTCATTGGTGTAAGAAAGTGGAGAGCTTTTTCACCATTAGCTAAACCTTACTCTAGAATTCTCCAAAAATATCTCAGAAGTAACCTGCAGAGCCTTCAGTAACCTTTGAGGATGTGGAGGTGGTCAAGGCTGAGGCATTGGGAGTTTAAACTAGGGGTGAAGGTTTGGGTCTCAAGATCGTGAAGGTTTTTGTGCTTTGTGACTTGCTGTAAATTCTCTAATTTATGTGACTTAACATTTTTGTCATTCCAATATGTGCTTGCTATGGCATATACAATAGTGTTTGCCTTGTTTGTCCATGTAACTTGTCTGTCTGTCTTTCCTTCCATCTGTCTTGCCATTGATTCTTTCATCAATCTGTCTATCCATATCTTTTATCTATCCTTCCATCTGTCTGTCCATCAAAGGAAATGGATCTTAACCAAACTCGGTACAGCATGCCCTGACAACTCGCGGATTTTTAATTCGCAGACCTTGATTATTCGCGGATGACACGCCTGGATGTACGCAAGAATGTCTTAAGGTAGTTTTAAAGTTGCTGGCATTTTTGTGGCCGGGACAGGGAGCCATTTGTTCTAGAAACCGTAATTTCTTTTACCTGTATTGTACAGAGTATTGTACAGTACTGTATATACAGTATGTATGTGTTTGTGTGTGTCTACACTCTACACACACACACACACACACACACACACACACACTGTATATACAATATGTAAATGTAAAAGAAATAATTGTCCTAAAGGCAAACACATAAAGGGAATATACATTTCTTTGCACACGAGTAAAAATGTACCCCCCTTCCCCCGGCAAATGTTATTCGCGGCCATTTTGAGAACCTAAACCCCGCCAATTTTAAGGGCATGCTGTACATATATTTTTTTCAAAATTTACAAACAATATTAAGAGCACTAGGTGAAAGATCAAATCCTCTTGACTTTACTGTGTTGAATGTTAAACTGTACTCACAACACCCTGGAAAGCGGTGGTACTGACTCTTAAACATTTACTCAAGTTTGTTATAATATGTGTTGTTGTCTGTGTCTTGCATAGTGGATGATGGGACCCCTGATACTGTATAGCACAAGTGAAATATACACAACTGTATCATTATCATAATGATCAGTAGTACTGTATTCATCCATTGTTAGGTTGTGTTTGAAAACTAATTTATAATACCTGTATAGTAAAATATAATTTTCATGAAGTGGCTTGGGACTTAATTCATTTTTTATAAAAGATATTCCCGAAAGCTGGTACAATAGTGTATTGGGTAGTGTACCTATAGGATTATGGTGAAATACAGTACTTTACACAAAAAGATGAGGTATCTTGGAAAATATTTCTTCTTTAATAAATATGGTGCAGTGTATATATGATGATTATTTAATAAAAAAAAATATTTGTACGTACCGGTATACATAATGCATAAAAATTATACAAAGTACTAGTATATGCACAATGTAAATCATTGCACAAAGTTATTTGGTTTTCCAGGAAATACCCAGACAAAACAATGTTTCCTGAAAAAGTGTCGTAAAGTACTGGTATATATAAACCTAACCAAACCAGCAACAGTTTTATGTGACAAGAAGCAGCAGTGTCAGTGAGAGAGAATTTTACTCTGTGTTTTATACTGTACAGTGCTATGACAGTACAGTACAGTCAGTAGATCAAACAGAACATTACCAAAACCTAAAGTATTGAAGAATTCCGTATTTCAGTAAAATCATGTTTACAGTTTTGTATGTAGTGGCCAGTTTTGAAACCACAGGATGCCAAAGTCAAATTTTACCTTCCAGTCACTTTTATTCCTTAAAACTGGTATTTTATTATACTGTACAGTACTTATGTTAACAATTTATAGAAGTTTAAACCTGTAAAATCACATTATCACTTACTATGTGTATTATTGGAATAGGTTGTCATAATTTGTAGCTTCCAAGTACTGTACAGTATTTTACAGTTTCTGTCATTTGTTAGTAAAAGAAAATGATGCTTTTTAAGTAAAACTGCATAGTACTTGTTTATTATCTCTCCTGATCTCAGTTTTGTGTGGGATTGATCAAAAGATTAAACCTCAAGATAGAGGGAATGGCAGGAGAGAGCAGTGTAAGACAAGTGTAGACAGTGATGTACAGTAATGGCTGAAATAAGTAGAAACACACCCTCAACTTGCAAATTAACTTTACATTGTGAATCCTTAGCCACTTCTTTGATTTATGATGCTCTATATTAACTGTCCATACTGAGTTGTTTAGTTCATCTAGGGCAGTGCTACTCAAAGTGTGGTCCGCGGACCGGTGCCGGTCCGTGAGCCATCGTCTGCCGGTACGCGGAGAGTTTTCAGAAAAGAAAGAAACGATAGTCATGTTCCACACCACGTGACACTGCCGGGACATCTGACTCGGCCTTTTTTTTTTTTACATTTTCATTGTAGTTTTTATATTTATTATGGCTATATTTTTCATTTACTCACTCATGTTAAAAGTCATTGCTATGCAACTAACGAATGCGATATAATGAACAGCAAAACAGCGAACTGAAATACGTATAACAACACCTTCATGATGATGTGGCGTTTGACTCTGTGGGAACCACACCTGGGGATATCAATAGGGCGCATCACCTTGTGTTGCCAGAATTGCCACGTTTCTCGGCCACCAGTTACGCCATATCCACCCAAAACATAAATCTTTTTATTTTAAGTATGGTAGTTATTTAATTTCGGATAAAATAAATGTATGCATCCCATTAAAAGAAATGGCCGATTTTTTACTATGCGTGCCAGCCGTGAAGGGTGTCACACAGCTGGCAACCCTGCTATTCCACACGTGTGGATCAGCAGTCTGTGATGTCAGGTCACAGGTCAGTGGTTAGTTACCATCAAGAAGTGGAACAGAGAGCATCATACGGGTATCTGCGCGTTTGTCATTTGGGACCCTATCCCAACCCACTTTTATATTCATTATATTTTTCCTGTATAAAATAATATTACTACGAATGTTCAAGTAATATTTTCTCTGATCGTAAACAATTAATTGTATGGCACAAATATGGTACTGGTCCCTGGCACACTGGGAAGACTTGTTACGTCAATGATGATTGGCCTTAGAATGAATAAGACATCATGTCTTCATGTTTAGTACAGATAGTCTCAAAATGCCCCTGAAATAGGACATACGGTATCTCAAAAGATTTTCCTGGGGGGGGGGGCCTATAGGCCCCAGGATTGGCTCGCTTCGCTCGCCGGTCCGTGGCACATTGAAAAAAACCATGCCGGTCCGCCACATCAGATAGTTTGAGAAGCGCTGATCTAGGGGACATCTACATCTTGCTAATTCAGCTGTTTGACTCTCTTAATTTTCTCATTATTCTGTAGTCTTCATCTATGAATCTTTCCAACCAATCTCTCACCTCTCATGTGCTCTACAGTATGTTTCTGTACTGTACCGCCTTATTTACTGTCATACATTCTGCTCTCCACAAGGACTTATTGGTCCTGCACATTCTTCTTGCATCTCCATTCCTCTCTGAACACCCTCTTGTACTCTGTCCATTTTTTATCTAACACCATTCAGAGACACTAATTTCACATCCATACAGAAGATTTGGAACAACCACTCCTTCATATAGTGTCCTTCTACATATAATACTACTGTAAACAGAAAACTCAAAATCCATATGTTTTTTGCATTATTTTATTGTTACCTTCAGTTTTTCCATTTTCATTCCTGTTGAATATTACTATGGAAATGCCTCAATTCATTCTTAACCATCAACTCTTCTCCAGTCCTATTGATAATGCATTCAGGCTTTTCTTTCCGGTTTTTAAATGCCATAACTTCACTTTTCCTAGCATTAACCATTGGCCTTATTCTCTCACATCATCCATGAATATATATTAAATCATGCTGCCTAACTCCCACACAAGATCTGCATAACATCACAAGCATTATCTGCATACTATAGTAAATTTGACAACTTTCACTTTGTCACCATACTTCACTTCCACTCCCATTTCCTATTCTCATCTTTATTTCACATTTTACATGATCATCTTAGCAAAAAGTAATCAAGATGACATCACACACTCCAGATCCACCACCCTAGTTTTTAATGTAAAATAAATAAGAGACACTGTACTGGCTTTTTTTTCTGACAGTATATACAGCACTGGGTATGTTATTTATTGTGTGTTTTTCACAGGGAACAATCTTGGATCGAATAGATTTTAATGTAGAACATGCAGCTATTAAAGTTGAAGATGGAGCAAAGCAACTGAAGAAAGCGGAACACTACCAGCACAAGAACCGTAACATGAAATGCATACTTGGTCTAGGGGGCAGTATTGTATTCCTTATTATTCTCCTCATAATTGTTAAATCCTAACACTAATATGTACTTTAGTTATAGATATACAGTATAGTTTATTTATTTTTCTTAAGAATTGTAGGTAGGCCAACACCAATAGGATAGGATAGGTCTTGCTTTACTTTGCTCATTAAATTAAACTTTATGCTGTGAGGGCAATGACACAAGTTTACCCCACAAACACAATGTATCTTTATTCACCTTGTTTGTGTTCCTAGCATAAGGAAAATCACTCTTAGACGTTTGTCTACTAAGTGAGGTGTAGAATGTTCTATTACTTTTTATGTATACTGTATAAATAAATATATTTCTTTTATCTCACAATGAATGATACTTCTAAATTGTAAATGCTATTACCATCGTATTGAAGTGTCATTTAAGACTAACAAGGGTGCAGATCTAGTTACTATGGGGACAGTGTTACTGATAAGCATCCAGGTTTCCATGCTACAAAGTGTGAGACAATTTCACTGATTTCTTCACTTTTCATTTTAATCTAAACGTTGACAAATAATAAATTTTTTATATTGTGTTTGATTATAATGTTAGAACAAATACTCTTCATATATCTTGTTTACATGATGCATACCAGAGTGTTAATATCTCGGGTGACTCATTGCATTTCAGTACAGTACAATTAGATTTGATCTGAATATTATCAGTATTTCACAATGCAAGTTAAAGATTGAGAACAATAGTTTCATGAAAACCTATATGGTCATCTTTTATCAAATTATTATGAAGCAGTGCAGTAATCCCGTGTTTTTCGCGGGAATTACGTTCCTGAAACCCCCGCGAAAAGCCCAAATCGCGAATACTCTTTTAGGAATCACTGTACCTGTGGCCACCAAACAGCTCAGGAAGGTCATGCACTTAACCACGCTATGCTCTCCACTCACGACCCAGTGTGACATGATGCATTGTACCGGCATTTACTAACATCATTATTTGAAACTAATCGTATTGTAGTATAATTATGAAAAAACGTAAACACAGTTATATATAAACTAAAATTTTATTTACAAGTAAATAAAAAAATATATATTTCGCTGAGGTCAGCAACACCCGTATTGCCAGCCTCTCCCTGCTGTCCTGGCGTCTGCCCGCCCTCACGCAGTCACGCCAGCCAGCCAGTCCTCTTCCACCCACACTCCTCCACTTGAAGACTTGAATTCTGACAAAATACACAAATGAATTGTCAGTCTTCACCACATCTTGAGCCAAACAGACATAAACTCTCATGCTTTGAGAAACAACATTATTGCTCGGGATTAAGTAGCCTAATTAATATGTCCGCTTAATGTTTGTTTTGTTGTTTGTATTTCTATGTGACTTGGTTTTATTTGTTGCCTAATGTCTGTTTTGTTCTATTTGTCAGTGTTTCTTTATGTGATTGTTTTACCACTACACTACATGCCTTTATAAGTAGAGACGATGAGCTTCACTCAGAGACATCGGAGGAGGCAGGGGAGGCACAGGGGAATATAAAAAATGGCGCGAAATTAAAATTTTTGTTTTTAAAGGATATTTTATATATATATAATTTTTGAGTAAAAAAATGCGAATGGTCAAAACTGTGATAAAAAAACACGGGATTACTGTATGTTGAGGAGTTCCCATTAGAGGCTTTGACCTTGTATTACTTTATTAAAAATGGGGTAGTTATATCAGTGTGCCTGATATATTCAGGTGCTAATACTGAACTAAAGTGTCATGTTTGATGGCAAATAACAATGCTAAAAACATTTGCTTAAGATTACTAATACAGTACAGTAAATAGTTTAGCCATCATATTTGCAAAGTGTTAGTACTATACTTGCACCAAGAAATTATGAGGACGCAAAAAGGTTTCCTAAGCAGGTTTTCTTGTAGTAGAAATGAGAGAAGGAACATGTAAAGTAGTGATGGAACTGATGATTACCCATGAAAAAAGGTTTTCTGGGATGGATAGAGTAGAAGTAAGACAAAGATTAATTGAGTGAAAAAGTAGGGTTAGAAATTTTATTTAACTGATAATTGAAAATTAGAAATGAGTAAAGTTGATGTGTGGGATTTAAGAATGTGTACTAGAATCTGGTCAAAATAAAGACTGTTCAGTGGGGAACAGGACACATCTCTTATGGTAGGGCTCTTGTGAGTGACCAGAGCCAATCAATTTAATATTTCTCATTTCCTTCAGTGAATAATATAAAATTTTAGCATTTAATTAGACCAACACTGGCACAGTTACAGATACATTCTTGAGCTGGTACTTGCCATCAGGGTGTAACAGTGACGTGACCGACTAGCAATCCAAGCGACTAACGAGCTAATCAGTGGCGAAGAGGATAAAATTAATTAATAGTAAGATCAGAAAGGTTCTTTAAAATTTGATAGTGTAAATGAAACTGGTCACAACTGTCAGCAGTGATCATGTGTGCCATAGTCTGACTAAAATTTTTTAAAAGAGTAGCTAAGAGATACATATCATGTCAGTCATATTTCCAGCTGAAACTGATTCATAAAATATTTTTTTTATCTTGTATGGAGTGATGGGTAAACCTGACAGATATCTTTGGGAGTGTGTTGCTGAAGGATGACACTGGAGTAGAACATATTTGATAAGGCACTTTAGGAAATAATGCTAACAAGTAAAGGGAAATTGTGTGTTCCTTGTGATTCTAGTCACTCTGTGCTATAGTGGGAAAACAGGCACAAGTGAAATTTATCTTAGTCTAAGCAAATGATAATTCTTTCATTTTGTTCCTTGCCAAATTAACATGTGGAATTATGCCAATTTACAGAATTGGATTCTTTGGCACATACAAGTTCAGTTACAGCAAGTAAAATGAATGAGGATTATATTGTTTCAACTAAATGTGTTCATGAATCACAAGGTACCAGGTAACTGATGAATACTGTATATCGTAGAACTATGAAAATATGTAGAATATCAAGCAGAGGTTACAATTACCTTAAAATTATGTAAGATGAGTGGAAAAACTTAACAAACAATATCGAAGTCATAAGAGGTAAAGTTTTAGGCATAGCTATGCATCAGGAGCAGAACTAAGTACTGGACAGAACTGTTATGATGTTAGGGCAGTTCATAAATCACGTGAGAAAATAGATTGCATGAGCATATACCAACAGAATCTAAAGTTACAAGAATCGTGCCACTAAACTTTGTTACAGAAGCAATTTATTTTGTCCACTTTGTAGTTAGGGAAAAGTGAGTGATAGGAAAATTAAACGATAAATCATTATGGATAAATGATTGGCAAAGATGCATATTATTTTCAAGGAATTTGGTGCAGCTTAAGAAGTAGCACTGTCAACAATTTGAGAAAACATTTTGTATTTATGAACAATTATTGTGTATAGGGGCCTGTATTTTATATATATATATATATATACAGTACATAGTACAGGTATTCAGTATATTTTTTTCCATTTATTAATGTATTATGTTGTACAGGTATACTGTATATTATTTTATGCTTTCTCTCCCATCTGACTCTGACTTATAAAAATAAAGAGATAGATGTAACTGTTTATAACAGTCTTTGATAGTTCTGCAATATTAACCTGATATAATAACCATCAATGTCCAGTATTTATCCGTGTACGCACCAACATTATTTTCATGGTTTTCCACTGGTACTGTAATTTGTTAGTTTAAATTCATTGTCTATTATTCATTTCATGATTGCTAAAATTTAAACATGGAACAATATTGCTGTATACAGTATAAACATTTATTATTGTAGATAGAAGACTTATGATGAATAGGAAAACCAACTTAATTTTTTAATTCTTAAGAAATTAGTAGACTAAAGTAGGTAACTTTTTAGAATGTCATATTTATTAAAATTTCTATATGAAAATTTAGGTGTTTTCTATGTAAAATAAGAATTTAGAAATTTTGTATGACAATATGCCTCTAGAAGAGACTTTGTGGATTTTAGTGGTGTCAGTGAGCATTGCATTCCTGGTAATTTGCCTTAATGTAATATTTGTAATCATAAGCCGTATCCAGCGGCTGACTACAAAGTCTACTGTTCTTGGTCTTCGCTTGAATTTGTAAACTATAATTTCACAAAGAAATGTGGAGAAAAAAAATATGTTCTAATCAAACAAAACATCACTAGTTAGAGATATTGTTATCATATCTGTTAATATAATCAGCTGGTGCTACAAAGTCCAAATACAAGAATCATACTTGTATAAAAATCTTTTGTAATATACTGTGTGGAAGGAAAGTTCATACAGTACTACAGTAGGTGCATAGATGGGTAAAAAGAAACAAATTTAAGTTTATTATTATCTGCTAGTTAAAGAGTGGCTGCTGATAGGTGATGGTGCCTATATGAAGCAACAAAGGTGAACCAGTTTTAGGACATGTTGTGGAAGAAGAGTACCATGACAGAGCAACTGAATGGAACATGCATGTGTGCATGGGTGCGTGCGTTTCATCTCCCCTGTAATTAAACAGGAAAAGGTTGGGGGAAAAATAAGTACAGTGGAGTCTGCATTTACGCGGTCAATTGAACCCGTGGAGGCCCGCGTGAAACGAGAAACGCGTAAATGAAATAACAGAACATATGGGATTAATTGAAATAGAGACTGGGCCGACCCCCAAACTCCACTTTTTCCGATACAATACCTACGTTGTAGTAAAAATATCTTGATATTATGATGGTATGCACACACAATTAATATTTAAGAGAAATACAGTCGCCGGTCAATGTCCATTCAAATAATGGACTGAATCCCCCCCCCCCCTTCCCACGCTTGCTGGCTCCTCCCTCTCTGAGAAATGTTTGGGTGAAAACAGTAGGCTTATATTTTTAGTAATAAATAATATCTCAGACTAAAGTTAGGATAATATAATTGACATTGCTGGATTCCTTGCAAGACAAGGAATATTTTGAATGTAAGCATCATATATTTTGCACAAGATAAAATTTTTGCTCTTTCTAATCAAAAATTCTTACATTAGATCTAAAATTTGTTTGTCTAATGCAGATTTCATGATGTTTATATTTAAAATACAGTAATCATAATCTTATAAGAATTCCAGCAATGTAAATTATATTCTGGCTGGGTAATTTGTAAGAATTTTATGAGCTAAAACAAATATCTTCACGAAATAAACAAATTATACTTCACCCAGACACTATCTGTCAATCAAAATACTCCACCTCTGCTCCCTCCCTCCCTTCCTACCCCCCCACCTTCCCTCCCTACCAGAGAAATGTTTGGGTGAAAACAGTAGGCTTATATTTTTAGTAATAAATAATATCTCAGACTAAAGTTAGGATAATATAATTGACATTGCTGGATTCCTTGCAAGACAAGGAATATTTTGAATATAAATGTCATCTTTTGCACAAGATAAAAAAATTTTGCTCTTTATAATCAAAATTCTTACATTAGATCTAAAATTTGTATGTCTAATGCAAATTTTATGATGTTTATAATAATTTTAATCTTATAAGAATTCCAGCAATGTAAATTATATTCTGGCCGGGTAATTTGTATGAATTTTATGAGCTAAAACAAATATCTTTAGTAATACAGTAAACAAATTATACTTCACCAGCCTAAATGACCAAATTTACTGCGTAATTAAAGTATTTCATTCTGGTAAGGCACCGAGTAAATGACCAAATGCATAAACAAAAGCCGCGTAAATGCAGACTCCACTGTACAGTATATTATTATTATTAGATACACCCAAACAGGTACTGGTTTTGTATAGGTTTCCTATTTATTTTACACCATAGAGTAATATCCAATTTTTTTTTTTTTTTTTTTTTTTTTTATATACTATACTGTACTGTACAGTATTTATTTATTAATTTTTTCTTGGGTGATCAATTATCTCCAGTATGGGAATCTAATTAAGGCAGTACTAAATTCTGAACACCTAACTAATGAATGGAATACCAATATATTCATAAAAAATATCTTGGATTAAAATTTTCATCTTTACTTTACTTTATATTAACTTCACTTTATATACATTATTTGTTATGTATGGGATATTATTCTTGTTTTGTATGGACAGGGTTGTGTTTTAATCTAATCTATGGAATTGACATTGTTCTGACTTGCGGACATGGTCCAGGAACTTAATCCATTCGTAACTCGTAGACTGCCTGTAGTCTAAGAGCAGTAAGGACTGACAAATATTGTTTTTACATTACAATGTTCACCTCTGGTTTTAATCATTCCATACTATAATAATAACCATATCAAAAGTTGAAAAAAGAATAATTATGTAAATATACTTATTGTTTATAACATATTTGTATTATGCCCTTTGTTAAAATGAAATAGCATCAGAGGTGTTGTATTCATCACTTGACCTGATAAAAGTTTTGTTGAATCCTCCTCATTCTCTTTATATTGAATTCCTCAAACAGATCTATCCTCCTTATCTGTACTGTGCAAGTAATTCTCCAGTTATAAACTTTTACAGTTCTGTACTTGTATAAATTCAAGATAGGATACTACTTCAGTTACAATAACACATTTTAATATGTTAGGCATCTATCATGCTTTCTTTAAAGGTACTGCCCAGCATTTACAAGTACTGATGGAATAACAGAAGCCCATGTACTGTAACATGAGGGTTATGTTATTGTTCGCACAGTAAAAAAGGTATCACGCAGGGGGGTCTGCCGACTTCCGTAATGAACCATACATCACTTGATGTGCCGGGAGGGTTGGTATGAGTGTCTGTATGGCAAAGGTTTCCACCTACCTATGGTAGGGCCATATTAGTTACATCCCACAGGACCAGTATATCATCATCCAACACCATTACATTAATTAACTTACACGCATATTCCATTATCCCTCGTCCGTGGTGTCATATTGTTTCGCACATAATCCGTGCGGTACTTTATTTTTTTTACTGTGTGTACAGTACTGGTATCATGTTATCTGAAACTGTATTACTGTATATAAACAACTACAGTTCATGGGAATGATTATCTAAAAATTCCTGAAGACTTTTGCACCTGTGTTTTCATCTCATATATTAATAGAAATACCGGTACAGTACAATATTTTTTTTTGCTTTGTTTTACCACTAATAACTTAAATATATCCTTTGTTCTAGTTTCATGCTTGCTTTACATCAGTTTTGATCTTTTAACTGCCAATGCAGTTTGTTGTACTGTATGTGTGAATATATATTTTTTTTATTTAATATTTTGTTACAGTTTGTTGTACTGTACGAGTGAATTTATTTTAAATGTTTCTTTTCGGTTAAGTACATCAGTAGCCGGGTCATGTGTAGTTACACTGTGAGGGGAAATGTTTATGTTATGAGGAAGAGTGAAAGACTACTCAAACATAATCCTGGCTGGTTTATCATCCAAATAAGTTGGGGGATTAATCACTTTTAAAGAAGTACTATACAGTATATTCATTCCTGAATCATATGATTTTTTTTTCACATACAGTAGTTGTAGGATTACAGGATCTCCTACTGTGTGTAGACACACACACACAAAACATGTACCGTACAAATAAACAATAATGGGAAAATACTTTCACAAATAATCAGAAAGAAATTTATTAAAAATGTGAGTCTACCCTCAAATGCATTCTTTATTGCAGTGCTTTATTAATAGAGCACTGATGGAGGGTAGACTGTCACCTTTTTAATAAATTTGCTTCTGATTATTTGTGAGAGTATTTTCCCAGGTAATTTTTTACTCGACATTTCCATTGTTATACTGTGATACATTCTTAGACCATATCCGTACTGGGTTACATGAAATTCCGAGTTATCAAATGCCGAGTTATTGAGGGTTTACTGTACAGTATTTCATAACGACAAAACATTACAAATTACAGTGACCCCTTGGTTAATGAACTCAATCCGTTCCAGAAGGTCGTTCGTTAACCGAAACCATTGTTTCAATGGGTTTTTGGGTAATTGGTTCCAGTTCACCGAAAATTTCCTAAATTCAACAAAAATGGTAGAAAAGTTCACTTACTTTGAGGTGTGTATGTAGAAGGCTCCTGGATGATGATGATGATAGGAATTAGAATGGGGGTGGAGGAGAAGGAAGAAGAGAAGGCATTGGGGTGGAAGAGAAGTCACCCCATGGCACCATTTCACCCATAAAATTTTAGTTCTCTTGGTGTATTTCAAGATTATTTTCTTTAAATCAACACTGCACTGCATTATTTATTGTCAATATGTAAAACATATTTCAAAATGACCAATAATTTGCTTGGAAACACAGAAAAAAAGTGTTTAGTTGAAGAGTCTCAAGCAAGATGTTACCTCCAGTGAAAACAGAGAGAGACTAACGCCTGTTTGCTGTGTTAAGAGGCTGGATGCCGCGCATTAAACTAGTCACTTTACCTTCAATTAAGTTCAATAATTGTTAAAATGACTAAAAAATTGAATATTAAACTTTTAAAATTATTGAATAGTATAAACTTCTTGATATTTACTAAAATAGTAAGGAATTTAAGCCCTAAAACCGATTAATGTATTGGCGGACTGATACTAAAGCTGGTTGCCCGGTCAGTGCAAGCGAAAACATGTTGAGGTCGGTTCGTAAGAAATTCGTTAACCGAATTTTTGTTCGTTAACCGAATTGAAGATCCTTATGGAAGGCAGTTCGTTAACCGAGGCGTTCGTTAAACGAAGGGGTTACTGTGTGAGTGATTTCAAGTTAGAGAGGTACGAATTATGGTTTCTTTACTGTAGTTTGTAATCCAATTTATTTGTGTAATATGAGTACAGTAGTCAAATGTAAAACGATGTGGCAAATTACATAATCTTAACCAGTGGCTAAGGCTTCCTTCCTCGGCCCCATATACACTAAAAATGGAACATAAAGAATATAAAACTTCCACTGATGATGGCCTTCATTTAAGGGTTAGTGATCCTCCTTTATTTTTGCTTTAGACAAAAAAAAACTTGCCAATCAAACAAAAATTTAATGAGTTAAACAACCCAAATCATAAAACACTCAATATAAACAAAACTGGCCTAATTTAAAATATTAACCAAAACAACTTAAGTATCCACATGTCCTTGAAAACTGTTGAGCTACAAATTTTATAAGCTAAACACAAGTACTCTACAACACATTTTATGATGGAAAAAAAAATTATAAAATTTTACATTTGGGGTCTTTTGTTGCAGTTTTATTGTGCTTTAGAAATTTACTCACACACACACACCTAATATCATGAAAACTTGAGACAAAGGAAGCATATGAGGCACTATAATTCTGGAATGTTCTCTAGTTACTGCAACTTTTAATTTTATTTTAAACAACTTAGCTTGGATGATTACAGACACCAGCTACACTTTGGATACAATAGCTTCAATTGAGTACCTGGTAATTAAGTCCTTAAACAACTCTCATGTAAGACTTATTGTTACTTTCTGAAAAGCTAACATCTTTTGTGCTATATCCCAATATTTGTGGAATGACAAATGCCAAACCAAAATGGTTATCTTATGTTACGGCATGAATGTGATGAGTGGCCAGTTCAGCACATACCAGAGCCAAGTCACTGACCAACCCTACCTAGTGAGGGGACTGAAATACATCCCTGGGGCTACAAATACAAAAAGCCATGTGCAGTAATAATTTATGTGGGTATATCAGCAAGCAAATTAAATCCTGTGTAGTGTCTCAATATTTAGCATGTTTACATAACTTGCTAATTATTCTACCCTTGATGAATCAATAGGTGATAGGAAAAAAATGAACAAGTAATCTCGTCTTAATATTAAATCTAAACAAAAATAACTAAGACAATTTAACACACAAGAAAGTGTCTTTTTGTATAATTTACATACCATTGGCTTTGTTATTGTTTTGGCTTTAACATAATTCACTCAAGGAGGGAGGAGGAGGACTACTTTTTCACTCTTAGAAAAAAGAAAAAAATCATGCTAGAAAATAAATAAATAACTTTTCCTTTTGGAAATAAAAAATAAGTGTTCCCAGCATCATATCACTGAAATTTTCTTAAACTACCAAGGTATTATATAATAGAAGCGTATTTTATGGGTTTTCCAACGATGGTTTTGGAATTTTGATACGACTAATTATGGGGAGGGTGGGAGAAGAAATAAAAGAAGTGCAACCTACCAGCACAGCTGATGGGAGGAAACTGGTAGACAATGAAACTCCACCAATGTTTTGGTAATTTATGGAAGGTTCACTCGCAATATCATGCATTCATATATGACAAAAATATCTTTAAAAAGAAATTGGGGGGGGGAGGATATTTTAAAGTTTAATGAGATCCACTTCACCCATGCAAATAGTGCTACCCAATGATTTATACGTAATGCGCGAGAAGGTTAAGAATCGACAATGAATTTATATGAAGGGAATAAAGGTTCTGTACAAACACACTGAAAAAATTGCACTAGGGTTATGATGAATAGGATTGAGCGCTATTAAACTTTATAATAATAATAACACTAAATCCAACAGTTACACTGAAATATTTGTTGTAGTAGACATCTTTTCCATCTGTTCTTGTGGTGTGTCAGAATTCTGGGAGTCACAAGTCTCGAAGTGACGCAAGGCCTGAAAATAGTCCATTTTATTTCTTGTCATAGTTGTTTAAAGAATACAAAAATACACACAGTACCTTAAATTACTAAACACTAATCAGAAGTCCCCCCAAATTCTGATTAAATCAACACTAGAGCAAACTTTAATTAAAGTGGTGCAGCCTCTGCCTCAGTGAGCCATGACATGTTAGTGTGGTGTTTCAGGATTTTTATGTCAGCTTAGTGGTGTGTATGTTCTGTATTAAGCAGAATTTTCATAGAAAAACTCACATAATGTACGTGAAGAAAAAATTTGCCATGTTAGAATAATGTAGGAAGAATGTTAAAGTATGGACATTAGGAAAAAATGGGTATAATCATTTCATATGCCAGTATTGGTCATTTGGTCTTGCTTGAGCTCACAATCAGTGCCATCACAACACTCCCTGGAACAGTTCACAACTCTCACACCAAAAAAGCTTGCCCTAACAATTTTCTGAACCAGTGAGATTGTTTAACTTGAGGCTGTGACCTCTAGTGGGGTGGGCATCTGCTAATTCTAAGTATGAATCCTTGACTGAGTAACTTGCATTTAGTTGAAGAGTACATGTTCAACATTTTAAACATGTCTAAGGTTCTAACCCTTAATCAGCAGCTAAAATTCCCCATTGCCCCTATATCTTTGAAATTATATGGCATTAATCAGTCCATCATGAAGGTAAACCCACCTACACACAAGATGGCACAAGTTGCCACGTGACAGCCATGTGCTTGGGGAATATTTGTGTGTGTATCTCACTTAAGCCCAGTGTAGGTGTGTACAGTAAGTGTCAAAGATGAACAAAACATTCTGGTTACCAATTGTCTATAAATGTATACCCGGTAGTTAAATATCATATCAGAATGGTTTGTCTTGAATAAAATAATTTTACAAGGTTGTCTTATAATAAATGTGTGAAAAAGATAATAGGCAGAGAACATTACATACACTCAGTGTCTCCTTTTAGGGCATCCTTAATTTTTATTTAATTTGTCTACATTTTATTATATGATCATTGTGCTTGTCATATATATATATTAGTTGTTTGAACATCACGAAATAGTGGTAGAATTGGCCTGTGGTAGTAAAGCTTAAATTGTGTAATGCATTTTTAGTTTTTACATTCAACTAGTTGTTCAGTTTATGCAATTTCAGTGACGCGATCCTTTTTGGGGGGAACACAACCCTTTGATGCGTGAAAAACTGAGATATATATTCCCTGCAAAAATTTGGGGTGCATCTAATATACAGTAATGGGAAAGATGGTACTTAAAATCCAAACACTCAAGTTTACTTACAAACCATGAAATAAACTTAATTTTTCTATACTTAATCATAATTCTTTATCATTAACCATGCACAATTTATATTATCTTTTTTTTTTATCTACATAGGTATATTGCTTTAATATTCTGGTGTATATCTGAATTATTTATCATAACATCTTAAAAGACACTAAATTACCATAGAATGTGAAGGCACAGTTTTCTTTCCATGTGAAATTTGGACGTCTTGAATGAGTATTCTGCGTTTTCCTCTCGCAGGATGATCTTTTGGAGCCTTTATATCACCAGTAGATACCTGGAAAACATAATGATAATGGTGTAACTGAGGAAAGGAATAAAAGAAGAGAAATTGGAAATACAATGTTAATCTTTGAATAATTATGGTGGGTGGTAATGTGGATGTGGGAAATAAGACAATGATAACTGGTCAGGAGATGTCTGAAGGATGTAAGAGGAGTGGATAAAAAAAAGAGGATGTACAAAGGCAAAGTACCAGGTGCAATGGGTAGAGGGTTGGGAAAGATGGAACAATGCATTAAGTGAGAACCAGACTGCTCATTGCTACTGTGGCACCATATCTTGTCAGATAGTGGCCATCAGTGGTGACTTGGTTCTAACATCCCTTAAGTTGGAAGGAATGTATGATAAGACAGATTAAAGGGATTTTAAGTCATAATTAGACTTTCTTTGTGACAGATCTGTGTCACATGTGATAGTTTTCTGTAGATCCTATTAAGAAAAAGTGTGAAGCTTCAAAAATATCCTCTATGTCCTGTCTGTAAGAAAGGTGTTGGCAGTAACTCAATAATGTGTTATGGTTATGGAAGATTGGTACATAAGAGGTGCAGTGAAGTAAATGGCAGATTGCAGGATGTTGCCAACTTTAAGTGCAGGTAGAAGTGCCCACAGAAACTCAACATTGGGGATATGTCCCTGGACTGTGTTGATGAGTTCTGTTACCTGAGTGAGATGATCAGTGCCTGTGGGGATGCTGTAGCCAGTTTAGTTGTTGCAGGTGTGAATAGTGTGATGATGTATCACAGTTAATGAGAATGACATAAGTAGACTTGAGTGAACTAGTGGTAGTGAAGGAACACGAGAAAGAGATGGAGCTTTATTCCTGATGTTTCTTCACAATGAACAATTGTCTTGAGTAAACTAAATTGAGAATGGCGAGGTGGATATGTAATGTGACATTAAAAGACAGGAGGCCCTGTTCAGAGCTAAGAGGACAGCTGGATATTGAGAAAATCAGCAAAGTTCTACATACTGTAGAGGCAGGCTCAAATGGTTTGGGCATGTGAAAAGAGAATGGATAAAGCCAACTGAGTCAAGAGGTGCATGAGCCTAAATGTGGAGAAGAGGAGAGGAGAGGTTAGGTTAGGTTAGCCTAACCTAGCCAAGATTGACATGGGTAGAGGTGGTAAGAAATGAAATTAGTCAGGAACCTGAAAAGAGAGACTGTAAGAAATCGAACAGCATGTCAGGTAATTGAAACTGACCCATGAAAAATGGCCATAAAATGTTGATGAGTTAGCATAAAATATTTACACACAAACTATTACAGACTCCCATGGCAATAATTACTACCATCATCAATGTTTTGCTGCCATTTTCCATAATTGTGTGGGTTAGCAAATACCCAATACCATTAATCCATAGAAAACTTCAAAATAGCAAATATAAAGTATTAATTACAAAAATATAATACAAAAACCCAAAGAATAGAGCCCATGTAAACTCACCTCCATATTGTTTCCATCAAACTCAGACTTCACAAGACAGTCTCCATCAAACTCAGACTTCACAAGACAGTCTCCATCAAACTCAGACTTCACAAGACATTGTGTAGGAAGTGAGGCCCAAAAGATGGAGTTCTCTCCACTGGTAAGCTGGGTGCCAAATGTGGCCATAGTGTCACCAGCAGTTGCCACTGTGTCAGCAGCAGTCTCCAGTGTTGACTGTAAGCCATTGTCAATACTGACCACCCTCTGTGAGCCTACTGAAAGAACCTGTGAATCATTGGGAATATCTGATTTCATTCCAGGAGTGAATTTCAACTGTTCCATGTCCTCCTCAGCTGTTGAAGCCTCCATGGATGCTCGAAGAGAAGATATGGGAAGATCTGGGGTTGCATCAGTATCAATATCTGCACTTAACTTTATGCTATGAGGAGTCTGTAAAGGTGGCGTGTAATGTTAATTATCCAAATATACTATAACAGCAAATCAAGCCAATTATACATTCCTTTATACAGTGGAGTCGGCCAATAATAAGAGCTAGGAACTGCCAGGACCCGTATTACTTCATAGATGCATTAAAGTGAGACATAGGATGACATGTCAAATGTACCAATGTGTCTGATTGTCATAAAAATAGTAAAATACACATTAAAAAGGGCTAAATGATTTAATTCTACCCCAAAAAGTATATATTAGACACTACAGGTGAGTTAAAGCAAGGCTAAAGTGAAAAAAAAAAACAGATCTGACTTGAAGTGAAGGGCTCATGAGCGACAGTGGTTCAAGTTACCTGTCATAGTACGAACGAACTACTGCGGGCGGCAGCTTTCAACCACATTATATCGTAATTATCCATCATTAACTAGATATGAAAGGTGTTAATTGAGGCGTCTAGCGTAGGAGGGACGAACTCGCCAAATCATAGTTTTGAGTAAACACACAAAAAAAATTTTAGAACTGTAAAATCACAGAACCATACGAAAACAACGGGGAGTAGAGACGAACTCGCCACTTCCTGTCATCACAGTTAGAAATATAAAGCCTGGAAAATTCCGAAACCACAGAAAACAGATTTTTGGGGGACTGGCGAGTTCGTCCCTCCTACGCTAGACGCCTCAATTAGAGGTGCTGCATTATTTGGGCTGTCTCCACTGTCTATTAATTACAAAACCTTGCCAGAATTGGAAGATAAAGTTCATAACAAATTAACAAAGGAAAGATCAACTACCTGAACGGTTACAGTAAGCAGAAAATTGATAAAATGATAAATTAAATCAGAATTCTTCAAGTATCAAAGCAAATCAATGAATGGCTGTTTTTGCCTTTATTATTTAACTTAGAAGAGGAATGGCCAGTATCACAGGGATAATAGATCCAATAGCCCTAACATCTAACGCAACAAATACCCGTAATTAGTAAATGGGACAAATTGTTGAAATAATAAAACAATCTACTAGTACTATAATACATCTTTACCATATACAATATAAGCAGGTATGAGACCATTTATCCAGCATCCTGGTGTCCAGAATGCTCCATAAACAACATATGTTGTCGAATTATTTAAAATGTCTACCGAGTAATTTCCGGTCAGAGATATTTCTGTCCATCCCCTACCTGTGAGCTGTGTATTTTGTTACCCCAGTATGGTTATTTTTTTAACTCGTATTTTTGGGTAGATACATTGTATTATTTTTATTTTGTTACATACATTCAATATTACATAATGTGAAAAATAAAGAAATAAAAAATAATACAAATAAAAGAAATACATTGCACTTTACTTTTTTACTTTTATACTCTTCACCACTGATCGGCTCGTTAGCCGCTTGGGCGATCGGTCACGTCTCTGTTATGCACTGTTGGTAAGTACTGGGCATGCACAGGCTCCTGAATGTACCTGAACCTGCTCCAGTGTTGGTCAAGCCTTGTCTTGAAAGAGCTCACGCTCGGTGCCATCACAATACTTTCTGGTAGATTGTTCCAAGAGTTCATAACTCTCACTCCGAAAAAGTTTGCCCTCACAGTTTTCTGGACTTGCGGCTTCTTCAATCTTGAGCTGTGACCCCTTGTGGGGCGAGCGTCCACCAGCTCCAAGTACGGACACTCGACTGAGTAGTGCCCCTTGAGATGCTTATACACCTCAATTAGGTCACTCCTTGCTCGTCTGTAATATAAGCTAGGCAAGTTCAGGCGCTCCAATCTCCCAGGGTAGCTGAGGTGCCGTAGTGCAGGCACCAGTCTGGTGGCCCTCCTTTGAACATTTTCAACCAACTGACAGTCCCTAGCATATCTCGGGGACCAGACGGGGTGACAATACTCCAGATGGGGAAGCACTTCACTCTTGACGATCGTAACGAGGTACGGACCGTCTAGATATCTGAACGACCTTCTTTTAAGACCCAATAATTTATTTGCCTGATTTACCTTCTTCTCGCAATGGCCTGAGAACTTCAGCTCATTGTCAACATACACACCTAGGTCCTTCTCACAATCAGTCTCAAATAGTGCGGTTTCTTCATCCCGTTAGGACATATGATACGCCTCCTTACCGTTGGTATGCCCCAGGTGCATCCTCTTACACTTCATGACATTGAATCTCGGCATCCATTTCTTCAACCATTAGGAGCCCACAGAGGTCCTTCTGCAGCTCTTCACAGTCCGCTTGGTTCTTGATTTCCTGAAATAACTTGGCGTCATCGGCAAACGTTTGTATGGAGGAGTGTACAACGTCAGGCATGTCATTTATGAAACAAACAAACAACAGCAGGCCCAATACACTGCTTGTGACAGGTACGGATGAGAATTTTGTGCCATTAATTACCACACACTGCTTGAGGTCATGTAGAAAGTCTACTATCCACGCTAGGACATTTCCCCAAATTCCGTACCCTTCCAGTTTGATTTTCAGCCTTTCGTGGGGTACACTGTCAAAAGCCTTGGCAAAATCTAAGTAAATATTGTCGATATTACCACCTCGTTCCAGAATATGGGTCCAAATATCCAATACCTTGAGCAATTGTGTTAAGCAGGAGCGCCCCAGCATAAAACCATGTTGGCAATCCTTTACAAGGTTGTTTTGTAGTAGATGTTCCATTGTGGCGGCTCTGATAATACTCTCAAGTAATTTACATATTATGCTGGTCAGGCTCACCGGTCTATAGTTGTTCGTGGAGTGACAATCGCCCTTCTTGAAGATAGGACTCACATAAGCCACTTTCCATTCACTGGGGACCTTTTGTTCATCCATGCATTTACAAAACAGGATCTTCAGGGGCTCGGCAAGCTCGTTGTACAACTCTCTTAGCACTTTAGGATGCACCATGTCAGGGCCGGGACTCTTATGGACCTTTAGCCTATACAGTTTATTTCTAATACCCTCTTCTGTGAACACAATGTGGGTCAATGCTGTGTCGAACCGTCTGTCCTCAAACGCAGGAAAGTTAATTGCATCCTCTCCTGTGAACACTGAAGAAAAGAAGCTGTTCAATGCTTCAGCTTTATCCTGGACAGAATGTGGGTAACTACCATCTTCAAGCCTCAGGTCTGATACTCCTACTCGCGTTTTTAATTTTGACTTTGCAGTGATAAACGCCTTTGAGTTTGACTCGACCTCGCTTGCAACCAGCCTCTGGAACTCCTTTTCAGCCCTTCTACACTCTATCTTTGCTTGGTTTCTGGCTCTTGCAGACATCCTCCTGTCCTGTTCATCGTTTGACCCAACCCACATCTTGAATTTCTGGGTTTTCTTCTTAACTCTGTTGACCGCCGCGTGGTTCAGGTGTAGGGATCCCCTTGTATTCCTAGAGGCACTGGGTTTGGTCTTGGGTATATATTTATCGATCAAATGGGTCACTTTACTGGTTATGATATTCAGCGTAGTGGCTGCGTTCTTGTACCTTACTGAGTCAGGCCAGTTGATACCTCTCATTTCTTCCCTCATCCCTTTGTAATTTCCCTTGTAATATTTGCACCTTGGCCTGGCCTGGTAATTATCATTAGGTATTAAGTATTTTTCAACTCATTGGGTAAATCTAAATTTTTTTTTTTAACTCGGTTACATGCACACACAATTCTACACACAAAACGTGCAAAAAATAATATTAAAATATCTACAGGTTTCCACTGTGAAAATGTGGAGGTCAGATGTGGAGCACTGTTGCTAAGGCAAGCACCATTCAACCCGGTTTGAACACTAACTTGCATAATTTTGACTCTTTGCTTTCATTAATGCTCTTTATATGTTTTTGTTATTGATATTCATATGTCTATAATTTTAAGTTTTAATGTGACATTGTACAGTTAAAGCTACTTTTATGAGTGAATCTAGTGATCAGAAGAGTCTTCACAGGCAGTTACAAAGGGTTTACTGTACATTTTAGGCCTGGCACTCCAAATTCCAGAAAAATCCCCTATCCGGCTTCCCTGGGGTCCCAAAGCATGCCAGTTAATGATCTCATACCAGTATATATATATGTAATACATAATTAAAACCAGCTTACCTGAACAGTGTCACTGACTGCAGTGTCACTTCCTGTAATTTCCTTTTCTTCTACTCTATACAGATACTGAGGAAATGCAAAGTTTATCACTCTGGAACAGTTTGGAAAAGTGCCTCTGTAAATTGAAAAAGTGAATGTTACCAAGACAAACCTTACCAAATTAACAAACACAAAAAAAACTTGCATGATGTAAAAGGTGATAGTATATGGGGTGAAGCCTCTCCCTACTCTTGAATTGTAAAAAGAGAACAGAAATCTTAGATGTGGATGGAATACTACCACTAACAAACTTAATTGGAGTAACTATGAAGGTGGAACAAGAGAAGTGTGGATGATGGACAAAAGATAAAGGTTTATTGTCTGAACTGTGTAATGTGGATATACCTGTACTGCAATAGGAGGATGAAGTGAAAATGTTAAAGTAACAACAGGGTGAATTATGGCAGGTCTGGTTTGTTGACCGAGGAGTGAAATTGCTCATGAATGTACATAAGTATAAAGGAATGATTGTATTTAAGTACACAAGCTCTACTCAGTTAATTGTAAGATTCAAAGTGGACATAGTGTACTTGTTTATGCTCTACACCATTTATCAGCTTAGTAGCTGGTTTGTGTACTGTTGATAGGTATATATGTTTCTGTCCCTTTGGAGGAGACTTAAAAGTAATGATAAAATAACCACAAATATGACCAAAAAACTTACAATTTCCCCTTTTTTTTTAAAAGTTTGTCCTTCTGGAGCCACTTCATAAGTTCCCTTGCAATAGTAATATTCACTCCTAAGCGCTGGCCAAGCATAGGTGCAGTAATGCGGCAGTTGTTGTCACGAAGAAATACCAGAGTACGACGGTAAAGGCAAATCATTTCAAGCTGTATGGGACATGGCAGGGAATTACAATTACTAACTTTATGAAGTTTATTAAAACAAGCACACACACACACATACACAAGCTCTCTCAAAATTAAATACTTCATTGTCCATTCTGTTGGAATGGATACAGTTGCACAGAATTGGAACCTTTGTGGCAAATGCACATCATCCACCCATATGTACCATTGGCAGCCATTTCTTGGGGGTATTCAAATGCTTCCAAAACACGGCTTTCATCTTTGACTCAGGTTCTCAATGATGAATCTAGGTTTTATCTCCAATAACCAGAGTGGAAACGAAGTTGACTGGATTGGCTTCATACATTCATGGGGCTTGACTGAGAAACCCATCTTCCAGAACCCATATATTCACAGATGATGGTCACAACACTTTCATATGAAATACTAACTTTAGTGCTTATCTCATGAACTGACTGGAAAGTCTTCAAGTTTCTCACCCATGCTTGAAATCCTTGGCTGAACCTTATTATGGTGGCACATTAGAGGGCATCTGTACCTACAGGCTTGCTATGTGCTTTTCCTATGTTTAGCCACTGAACCAAGGTTTCTTGACTCACAAATTCTCTCTTTGCAAGGTTTTCCAGGAACTTAACCCTCTTTAATGTACTGTAGATGGTTTACTATATGTATTTCTTGACGAAATGAATTACTGTACTGGTCAAGGAGTTACATTGCATGGCTGCTAGCTGCCACTATGCTCAATTAGTGATACTTGTAGAAACGTAAATGCATACACTGTACAGATTTTTTTTTTAATTCTGTTTATTATTTTAAATCCACATTTCACTTCTTGAAAGTTTATAGATAAAATACTTTCTTAGAATTATTTTTTTATTCATAAAAAATCTGTATGAATGGCCTTTACAAATACAGTATTAATTTATATATTTACAGTAGTGTACTGCATTTGTAATATGTTTAATTTCAGCTGTTAGGGTCAGTTGCACTTTTTATTCCTGTGATAATTTGTGTTCGTTGTCTTTGGTCCAAACATACCGGATATTTTGGGTTCATGGTCCCAAGGTCCATTGTATTCAAGTTACTCTATAAGCTACTCTTTTGTATACCAAACAGTTTATCCCAAACATTTGCAAATTTGAGGAGGGTCTACTGTACAGTATTTAGAAATAACTTAAATTTGAGATCTTAATACAGTATGGTAGTCTTAATATTTTACTGTGGTACTAAAGTTAATTGTGCCTACTCATTCATCTCCCCCTAGCTTCATCTTTCCTACAACAAAGGATCAACAAACTAGGCATTGATCAACTTTTCCTGGCATACCCATCACTAATGCTCTATATATGGGGAGCATCTGATATTTCTTACAATAAAAGATTTTTAAAAATTTGGGGAGCCTGACTCGCAAAGTTAAGTAGTTACAGAACAAGACTTAGGCATAATGACTGTGAAAGTATTACACTTTATGGGTGATGGTAGCCCTTATTTGGATGTTATTCCTAAATACAATGGGATGCTCCTTGTATACTTTGGTCTGTGATGGCAGCAGCTCTGATGTTTTCACAAAGCTCTACTCTATGAATCACCATTATGTTTCCTGTTTGTGGTTGTCATTACTACACGTAACCAACAATAGGTAAATGAGGTATTTTATGATCCCCCAAACCAATCTGTTATATATTAGGAGTATAACATTACAGAGAAACCTTGTTTTTTGATATCTTGTTACATCCATTTAGACATTTTTAACTTATAAACCTACCAAAATAGTTCCAGTCCAGTACAATTTTATGTAAATATAGAAATAAACCAAATATTGTCAACTAAATAACTACTGTAAAGCAGAACACCAAGTAGCACCTCAGGATGATCTTTGAGAGTGGGGTCAGTTGAGGGTGTTGAAGAAGTGCCACAAGCTTCACATATATGATGAGCTGGTGCCTCACTTTCCTTTAACACGTTGAAACAGAGCTGAAAAACCAGGCACAGATGTAAATTTCAAGAATGATAAAATGAATAGAAATCATCATTTGTAATTCTGAACTGTGTATATCTACTGTACTGTATACGTATACTGCCTTCAAATTGTTGTTGACTTCAACAAATTGTTATTCACAAGCAAATGAAACAATCCATAGTTGAAAATTTATAGTTTCTTCAAGCCTTGTCCTCCTTCAAGTCCTATGTGTAGTAAAGGTTATATCGCCAGCACAGACTTCACCATTCAACCTGGGAAGTATTTTAAATATCAGCTGTGTAACATCAGAACTGCCATTGCAGATATGGTGCGGTTCTGAAAGACTGCATCCCCCACACACTGCATCTCCTCACTGCTGTATACCATACTATTAATCTGGCAAGATTTTTTTAATTATTATTATTGTTTTTTATTTGCTTTTTAAAGGAAGTAGTTTCAAGAAATAAATTTTGTTTATAATTTTCTCATAAATATCCATGTAAAATAAACAAAACAAAAAATTCTAAAACATGGTGGCTAACATAGGTTGCAATTCAGACACCACAGACAGCCAAGAGCCTTCGACAAAACATTTAGAAATCGTTCATTCACTAAATGGAAGTTTATACAGAAATGCATTTTTTATTGTAGGGCATGAAAGCAATTTTTTTTAACAACTTTTCCTAATTACAACAGCTCTCTTTCACAGTGACACATTGTACATTACTACTGTGTGCTGTACTATCCATTACAGACAATGATACAATTTTCATAATTTCTGTATCATTTTCCTTACTTATGAATGAAATTACAGTATCTACAGTATATGTACTATTGCTGAGTGATGTTTAACATATTTTAGTCGCTATTGAGTGCTATCACCACACTTCTGAGACAACATTGACTGATCCCTCATAACCCCTTAACATAACTCACCTCAACGCTTTAAGTAATTTATCTGTTTTTTGGTATCGTTTCCCTATTTAAGGTCTTTTAGGTTTGATGAACCGCAATCTCTTTTTTATAATAAAAACATTAATTTCATGTAGTAGTTTACATTCCGATTTAAAAAATATACTGGATATATTTTCTTGGAGAAAATAGTATAAAGTACCAAAATGATTATTTGAACTAAAAAATATTGTATAGGTTAGGTTAGCTAAAATTTATAACTACTGTTCGACGTTTGTTTACGTTTAACAGACTCATACCTCTCTTCAGCCAATATTTAGTTTTGTATCATTTTCATTACTTCCTATTATTTTCTCAAAAATACATATTTGAAATCAGAATGCAAAACTACATAAAATTAATGTGTTTTTATTAAACAATTTTGCAGTTCACGAAATTGAAAAGATCCCCATTTATGAATGAAAACACACGACTGAATCCATACCATTACTGAGTGATTTTTAGTACAGTATTCTTAGTAGTACTGTACTCATAACCTACCTTATGTTTCATAATGGAAACTAATGGGAAAATAAATTCATTAAGGAAAATGTTATAAAACTTTCTGCATTATAATGAAGTTTTTAAAAACATTATACTGGAATATATTACTATATGATGCCCTATAAGAATGATTAGAACAATAATGAGAAAATATTTCATCCATTTTTATTAACCCCTCGTGTATGGGCTCCCTTTAGAGCTGAATAAAATCATCTGATGTTAGCCCAATAAATTACTATACTAAAAGTAGCATCTCCATAGTGAAAGGGTTAATGGGTATTTCTCCACTGATAATCCAGTCAATTGGCTCATCAGGACACCCCTTTTCACCTTATACAGTAATCCAAATTTTCGAGTTGTACTGTATAGAGGAGTGTAAAAACCTTTCTAATGCTCATGAGAAAGGAACTGAACTTACTGCATGTTGCCACTTGTCGCAAAAGTCACAAAGAATCATAAGGCCATCATCCTGGTTTACACCACAAGGACAACGCACTGTAAACTCTGTTTCTCCTGAGAAGATTTGTGATTCTGCATTGGTGGTGCTGTGGGCACTTCCTACAGGAAGAACACATGAAATTATTGTACTATTGGAAGAAAATTAGGTTCAGCACACTGAAACAAATTAATGATTGATAATACAGTACCACAACATGAGCATATTTTGCGGGTGTATAAAGATGAACATTGAACCATGAATTGTTACTAATACTGAAGGTAAGACTTGAATGGTAAATACATCTTTTCGTTTTTTAACTTAAGACCAACACAGCAGATAGACACCCAAATTACAATACTGTAGAAAGAAAGCAAGTCATTAAACACATCCCTGTCACAGACTTAATGCTTAAGGGCAAAAATGTGGGGTCCAATGATAGAGACAGTCATGGCTTTAAATCTGAAAAGACAAATAAAGGTGTAGGTTGGCTGTGTGAGGGTTGGGTAAGGATCAGCACATGGTTGTATAAAGATTTTGGTAGGGGCACCATTATCTCGGTAAACATTTGGTCGTGCCTTACCTGGCAAGAAGGGTCTCAGCCAACTCTAATCTCAACAGGTCATATACTGTTATACACTTTACAAATACTGAGGGGTAGACAAAATAGAAAAATGCTGGGATGAAGGAAGGCCTAAAGTGATGGGGATAGACATACAGAAAGCAGCAGCAGCTCATATGAGTTTCAAGAAAGTATTTAGCCAAGTGGTTTGTTTGAATGTCATTTCACTTAGATTAAAGGATTAAGGTAGCATACCGGGGATCTTAACTGATGATACAGGTGTATTTAAAGTTTCATTCAAATTCCTTGAACAGTGTAAAAAATTATGGACTACACAAGAAAGTGTAATGGATACGAGTATACAGTATACATAGGAGGATGGGTGGAAGCACAAGAGCTTAACTAGAGATAATCAGTTACTCAATATTTAAGAAAAGTTTGAGTTACACACCAGGTGTTATCGCTGTCCGGTCAGAAAGACAGGGTGTCCTCACGTTGGAACTTTGTACAGGCCTCGCACACTGCTGTGACCCTGAAGAAAGTGTTTGTGAAGCCTGAGGTACTAGCCAATCTTCAAGCTGTGAACCAAATTCTCTGGTAATCCATGACTTGTCATTGTTGTTTGGTGTAAGACTGGGCTTGAGCTCTCTTTTCATTACTTGGTCTCCATTTGTTTTAGGGGTCTGCATAAGTCCACTTTCATGGTTATTACCACCAAATACTTCAATGTGATTTCTTTTTGAGCTGTGAACTACAAACAGTAATTACGGTAGTTTAAATACTATCTTCACCGTAACATTATAATATGAAACATAATTCAGAAAAATACTGCAAGACAACATATGACATTTAAAAATACACTCATCACAACAAACCTGGTGACATTGGTTTTGTGGGAGAAACGTGAGCTACTGAACGCCCGGAGAAACTTCGCATCAAAGAATCAGTACACTCTGAGGACTGCACAGTGTCATCCAAAATGGATTTCTGCCTCTCATCCTAGATCAATATTAAACACATATTAAGATAACTATATCACAAGCAAAATACATAATACCAATCATACAAAGTCATCATTACCATTTTACACCCCTTTTCAATGTTTGTGAGGGTTAGCTGTGATTAACATGCCCAGTACTTGCCAACAGTGAGTAACAGAGATGTGACTGATCGCCCAAGCGGCTAACGAGCCGATCAGAGGTGAAGAGGATAAAAGTCAAATACCTGTACATACTCGAGTACAGGGTCAAACTATGTGAGCACTACATTTCCGTGGGTCATTTACAGTGCACGAAAGCTACCCGGTACATGAACACAAAAGGCTAACCTAACCTAATCTGGGCTTACCTACAATACCCCTTAGATTTTCTTATGTTGTTACATGAAGAACAGAACCTCAGTCACTATAATGTTGTATATACATGACACTTTAAATTTACAAAAACCAGCAAGTTCTGTGATGCAGTTTAATACAGCCTACTGCCTCCACACATATATACAGTATACAGGTACACACTCATGCTCTTCATTTATCTTATTCTATACCGTAGTTTTATGTTATATTTTCTTTATTTGTAAACCACACTAAAGTAATATAATTTTTTATTCTCAACAAGCATGGACATGGGATAAAAACGCTGAACTAGCGAGCGATGTTGGGTGGGTTGGCTCGTGAGAGCAAGACTCAAGGGTAAGAGCAGTTCAAGGGGTCAGACGTGCTTACAGGGGGTCCCCGGGATACGAACGGGTTCTGTTCCTGAGGACGTTCTTAAGTCGGATTTGTACGTAAGTCAGAACACACGCTATGTGCAAACGGTACTTACAGAACAATGTTTAAAATCCCACTATATCATAGTCTAAGTCCTTAAATACTTCTAAAATCACTTAATTTAAGACAAAATAAGATTTAGAATGACAAAATACAGAAAATGAAAGTAAAAAATAAGTCATCAGGTAAATAAAATACTAAAAAAATTCAATTTTAACCCTGTTCGTATTGGCAGGTGTTCGGAAGTCGGGGACCCCTGTATAAGCAGGGTCATGTACTATGGACAAGGATATTCTGTGAGCCCACTGTACTTTATTCTTTAAACATTTTGATAAGTACCGTAATGTGAATCATCACAGCACAGCATGTACTGGTAATAAAAATATTTTAATTTTATTACCTTCATTAAAGTTTATTAATACTGTACAATAATATCCTTAGAAATTAAAAATCATTTGTGGAGTGTTATGAAGGCATATCCCACCAGTACATGCCAACAGTGCGTAACAGAGACATAACCAACTGCCCAAGTGGCTAACGAGGCAATCAGTGACGAAGAAGATAAAGTACGTACACTAAATTATCAGACTACACACCTCCCATGGCACTGAGCACTGAGGGGAGGCAGCATTCCAACTGGGGGCTGTGTTGCTATGGTGAGCTGAGTCTTCATAATATGTACACTAACTTAAACGTTTTGGTGCTTTCTTAATTGCTGTTTACAGTAGAGTTCATTTCTAGAGTTGGTAACACTTCAGTGTCAGCTGTTGTGGTACCGTAGTGGTCACTGCCAAGATGCATTGGTGTGTATTTGGTGTCTTTCTACCCATACATAATATGTCTAAGATTATACCTAGCATTTCTCACAAGCTAGACTTTTTACCCAAAATCAAGGGTTGAACTATGAGATCAGTTTCTAAACAAGTATATACAGTACCTGATGATAGCTCTTCATACCACGTTGTCTGTTGCAGCCTCTCATCAGGTTCTTATGACCTCTCCCCATTTCATTCTCAACCTACTCCTGGCTTTCCTCCCTTCCACATTTAGACTTGTGCACCTCTTGACCCAAATTGTCTCCTCTAATGTCTACCCAAACTATTTCAGCATACCTCTATACAAAATTTCACCCGAACTCTTAATGTCAAACACCCATGTTAGCTCTGAACAAGGTTTCCTATCTCTCAATATCACAGTACTAATCCACCTCACCATTCTCATTTGAGTTTGCTCCAGCCTGTATATCTCCTCTTTAACTCCCATTAGAGTTAAGATTCTGACAAGAGAGACCACTGCAAAAGACAAGCAGCATAGAGAACTGCCAACAGTTAACTGTGGCTAACCCACAGGCATGGAAAATGGGAGTGAGACAATGATAATAATAATAATAATAATAATAATAATAATAATAATTATGAGGATGATGATGAGTGGCCAAATAAGACAAAAATAAATTACCTGAGTGTTGCTTGCCGAGAGCTCATCATTTGAGTATGAGCTTTTATCCACACTCACTCGAAGCTTCACTGTGTGGAAACGAGTACTTACGTCCCCAACCTGGTGATAGTAAATTTGCTGTAGTGTTGTGTACGGCTGTTTCTGTTCTACATACTATTAAAAACTAAAACATATACAGTTAACCCTCACTTTACGCGGTTAATGTAACCCGGAGGGTCCCGCGTAAAGTGAGAAACGCGTAAAGTGAATAACATAACATATGGGATTAATTGAAATGGAGTCCGGGCCGATCCCAAACTCCACTTTTTGACGACACACAACTATGTTGTAGTAAAAATATTATCTTAACTTTATGATGGTATGCACACACAATTAATAATTAAGAGAAATATCAATAATATTAGGTTTTTTAACACTTACATTAGTAGAAAAAATGGCTGGGCACACGGGGATGGGCGGTTGGTTCCGAGGCAGAGGGCAGATTATTGGCCCTCACCTGTGTCACTTGTATCAATTGTATCACTATCCACCACAGAGGCTTGCAGGGCCTCTTTGTCAAACTCCCCAAAGTCCATATAAGTCCATATCCTCACCATAATTATCACTATCACTGACTTGGGCCGGCTGTGGTGGGTGGCGGGTGAAGAACTGGTAATGTTTTGATGACTGGGCGACCTTGTGCGCACCATGTTCGCGCAGCTTACACAACATGGCGGATGGCGGGAGGTTTGGATCCAAAAATGGCGCGGCTCGCCAGCCGCTCTCCGCGTAAAGGGGTACACACACCGCGGAATGTGAGCATCCTGGGTTCCGGCAGGGCACCGCGTAAACGTGGAAACGCGGAATGTGGGACCGCGTAAAGTGAGGGTTAACTGTAGTTTTTGAGCAGGGTTGGAATGAATAGCCTGGAGGTAGCACATTAAATAATAAGAAAATTCTTATTCGACTCCCACTCCCTCCGGGCATTGCCGTGCTCCCAGGTCAAGGTGGGAGTCATAGGCTGGACAAAATAGTGGGATCTAGGTTGGGGGGTAAGTAGAGACACTGTTTCACTCACTCAAGACACTCCATCATCTCATCTAGCTTGCTTTTAAGAGTGAAATATTATTGTACTGTAAATGTATTGCCACCAAGGTGCAGTCTTAATACACATTTCAAAATTGTCTCTCTCTCTAGTAGGCACATGTCTCCTTGTTGTTGAGTCGTTATTGAGCAAAATTTAATTTTATCATACACAGATGAATGAAAAATAAACGAGTAAAAGTACTGCACAACAATGTTCATAAAACAGAGAAAAATTTAATTAAATATTTCTAATTTACATTAACCTTGTCAAAAGAAAATTTGGCTCAAGTTTATGTGCATAATCACCTTTGTCCTCAAAGTTCAGCCAGACAAGGAAGGATGGATGGAGAGTAATACTAAAGTCCTTAACTAAACCAGTTCATTTCTCCTAATAATGTAATGTATGTCGGAAATATCAAACCTTTATATGGACTGGAATACTGTCAAACAGGGTTCCTCGACCACCTTCCATGAAGCCAGGAGGTTCATAGTCTGGTGGGGTCACTGAAAAGACATGACAAAGATGAAGGAGAGCAATGTTACTAAAATTAGGTTTTTAAATCACTTAAAGAAGCCACCAATTTTATACAGGGTTGCTTTCCTGGGTAACCCAGATACATGTTCTTTAACATTATGAAATGTAAGACTCTGCATGTAGAATACAATCCTTATCAAAATTATTCTGTAAATAACAGTTTCCTGGATAATTTTGACAATAAAAAAGATCTCGGTGTTGTGAGGGTGGCACAAGTGGGGAAAGCAGTGAAAAAAGAAAACCGAGATTCGGGAAGTGTAAAACGTACCTTCGAATACAAATATAGGAGAACGCTCCTTTAACTTTATAAATCTCATGTACAGTATGTCCCAGTCTGGATTACTGTATACAAACATGGAACTCCTACCTCCAGAAAGACCTTAACATCCTTATAAAAAGGCAAGAGTATTAGCTGTGATCGAGCCAGACTTGACTAGTACTGGAGCAGGTTCCAATATATCCAGGAGCCACTGCATGCCCAGTTTCTGCCAACAGTGCGTATCAGAGATGTGACTGATGACCCAAGCGGCTAACGAGCCAATCGGTGGCGAAGAGGATAAAAATATAAAAGAAGAAAAAGAGTGAGAAATGTAGCACAAATATCAAGGGGCAGATAATAGTTACCGGCTTAAAATGGTTATTAGATAGTCCTCAATAGAGACCTAACTAAAGAGTCCATGGATGTTAAGTAGAATATCAGTGTGAAAGTGTTGGGCGAGGATTGCAAGATCAGCAGTTATTGGCCTCAGTTGCTTCCCTGAATTGTGTGCAATATGGGAAATTGTGTTTAAATTTCCAGTAAGTGTACATTACCTGTACAAGTATTCTCATTTATGATTTTGTGTGTTATAAGCATCTTTCATAAAATTTTATTGCATATTTATCAGATATGTTGACCCTTATATAACATTTTCACTTAGGAAGAAAAACTTTAAGGGAAATCCTTCCATTAAAAAAGGGGAGCCTGTATGTTGAGATAATGGTCCTAATATTTTTTTTTCCTTGCACAAGTTATTTGCAATTCAATTGTTTAAAATGCCAGTTCATAATATCTGCATTCTGCTTATTACCTTCCAAAGGTGATAAAACTGTCTCTCTACACTTAAGTATTTTACTATACTTCTTACAACAAATTTAGGGAGAACAAAATTATATACTAATGGTCAGACAGATGGGCAAATAGATAAAGTTGTAATCAATTTGCCTAATCCATAACTTCGCCACTGATCGACCTGTTAGCCACTTCAGCAAGTACTCGCTGCTCCAGAATGTATCTGTACCTGCACTAGCATTGGTCAAGTCTGGTCTTGAATGAGCTCAGACTCGGTGCCATCACAACACTCTCTGGCATTTTGTTCCAAAGGTGAACAACTCTCACTCTGGAAAAAATTGTCCTGACAATTTTCTGAACTTTTGGTTTCTTCAACCATAAACTGTGATCTCTAGTGGGTTGGGCACCCTGTCAGCTCCAGGTATGAATGCTCGACCGAATAATTTTCCTCTGAGGTGTTTGAAAACTTTTATTAAGTCACCCCTTGCCCTTCTATAGTACATGTATAATACCCACTGTATAGGCAATTTCAGGCGTTCTAATCTCTCTGGGTACCTAAGGTGACATAGTACAGGCACCAGTCTGGTGGCCCTCCTTTGGACGTTTTCAATCAACCGACTATCTCTAGCATATCTTGGGAACCAGCCAGGGTGGTACTATTCCTAATTGGGAAGCACCTCACTTTTGGAGAGCTTTACGAGGGACAGACCATCAGGGGCCAGTACCTGAATGCTCCTCTTGTAAGACTCACTAGTTTAGTTGCTGGATTCACCTTCTTTTCACATTTGGTCTTTGTTAATGCTGTTTCTTCATCCCAATAGGACATGTGATATGCCTTCTTATGACCTAGGTGCTTCCTTTTGCATTTCGTGACAATGAATATTAACAGCCATTCCTTTGACCACTCCTGAAGCTAACAGAGATCTTTCTGAAGCTCTCCACAGCCTGTTTGGTTCTTAATTTCCCTAATTAACTTTGCATCATCCTACAAAATAACAACAGGCAGGATTTAATATCTTAAACTTTTCATCAAATAAGTTATTGATGTAAGTAAGTACAGTATGGCCAAACAATCAACTTTAAAAAGATAATTCACTAACAGTTTAAAAGACATATGATTGAGATGAACTCTGCAAGTACGATAATTTCTACAATTATGATTTTCGTGTTTAATGTTCTATACGGTTACCTTACCCAGGCAAATGTGACAGTACATTAATAATAAAAATGACAAAAACTTTACCATTGTCATAATATCCAAGCTTCATTGCCAGGTGGACCTTCCTTGGCAGTGGTTTCAGTGTTTGCGTCAGCAACAGTATGGTACGCAACATTTTCTCTGTTGACTTCTTCACAGCAAATTTCCGTTCTTTCTTGCACCTACAAAAACATTATATCATGAGACACATTTTTCAGACCTGTATATGCTACATGGGTGAACAAGCTCTCTTCTACTTATACAGGTAAGGTGTGTATCATAATATTTGGACTTACGTTAACATAAAGAGGTCTCTGTTTATTGGGATAGATGCATTCATGGAAAATGTTACTGACTTTAAACAAAATAATAACAAGCAGATCACTTTTTTTCTCACAAAATAATTATAAAGTAAATAGGGTGGGGTTACTGTATGTTCGGGGCAAAATTTTAATTACCATCAACCTAACTTAAGACTTCCAATTATGTATCTAAACTACTGTAAATGTTTTTATTTTCCTGGTATTACCAGGTAGGCATTGTAGAGATACTTGTTGCACATTTTAGAGGCACTCTGTTATGAGTATATAATCGTGTAAATGCATTAAAGAGCAAAAACTTCTTGTTTTCCCTTCAACCTCAAATGTAGCTATAGATGCCAGCATGCTAAATGAGGGTCCTCCTTATCACAAGTAGGCACACACAAGGCTTTCTCCGAGATACATTCCCTTCTACTGTGTCCTTTATGCCATCTTTCTCTCTGCTTCTTGGTCTTGTCCTCTCCATTTTACCAACAACTACTGTACTGAATTATAAAGTCTTATGGCCAACCTTTCACTTACCATCCCCTCACAATGCCCATACCAGGTACAGTACTGGTCTTATGGTCCATTAGACCAGTACTGTATCTGATGAAGTCTCAGTCTGTCACTTCCACATCTCCCCCATATTTCTGTACTTAGTATTAGTATCTGCATTGTTCCCCTAATTGCATTCTAAAACACATAAATTCTATGAATTCTAATCTGTTCCTTCCTCTTGCATCAACCATACTTCACACAAATACTATAATGTCAGTTCAGAGATTTCCTTGTACATGCATCCCCATCTTTACCTCATTTGTTAAGATTCTCTGTTCTTTTCTCGGAGAACCTATTTACATATGTTACTCTATGTTTAGTTCACCAGTTTCCACACCAGTGGCTATTTATTAATTTACCAATTACAGAACACAAAATAAATTGGGTAGCAGTGGTATACATTAGTATGCTTAAATGACTTTTATAAATAAACACATGTACGTACTCAAAAGCCATTTTTGGTCAGTACTTTTACTTGATTAACATTTCAGACTATTGTCAGTACTGTTACTTCATTACCTAATTTTTGAGGCTTCTTGTTAACTCGTTACTATATTCTGGGCATCTCAGCAGTATGTGATATATTCCCAGGCTACAATATAGTATCCTAAAAGCTAAGGGCAGCAGCCTGATGAATCAGAATTATCTAGTTTGTCGAGTACAGTAATTCCTGGTTTAACGTCGTGGTTACGTTCTTGAAAACACAACATTAATGGAATCAATTTTCCCCATAAGAAATAGATAAAATACGCGAGTTACGTTCCCCAGCCTCCCTTTGCCCCATAAAATACATTACATATACTGTACATCAATTTAAAGGAATGTTTATAGAAAATATATATTATACATGCAAAAAGATAAATAAACTAAATCATTTTGTATTGTATGTACTCATTGATGGGCAGAGGTGGAGCGAGTGTGTGGTGGGTAGCGGAGAGCAGAAGGGTGGCGAGTCACTGAGACCCAGAGGTTTAAAAACCTCCATTTTCATAGCAAGGTTAATGGGCTTGCATTGCTTCTTCACAACACTAGCATCACTAACACTTGATGGGCACTTGGAAGCCATTTTGAATGGTTACAGTACAGTATTTAGAGCAAAAACACTTAAGCACACACGTACACTGTGGAAGCCTAACAGAGACTGGGGACGCTTGGGGATGCTCCGCGAGAGAGCTTAGCGCGCCACGATGAAAGAGGATGATGCGCCATACAAAGTAGTCCGTGTTGGATGATGACGTTATAACGAATCGGTCGGGACGTCAGAATCATGGGTATCCAAAGAGTAGCAACATTATAACGAAGCAACGTTGTCTGGGACAACGTTAAGAGAGGACTTACTTTACAGTATTGTCACTTTATTACTATAATGTGTGAATACTAAAAAAAAATAAAAAATAACAGTACAGTACGTAGTACAGTATAGTCTGGTTTAAGCGGAAGGCCATTTACGCAGCACCTGTCAGAAGAGATAATTATTATTTACACGGTAAATTCCATCATGTATGCGGCAAGCAGCAGGGCGAGGTGCTGGGCGCTGACGTCAGACTCACGCCGGTGACGTCACAGACTGTGATTGGGCCACGTATCCTTGCCACCCACGCAGTGATTGGTCTAGGCATCCTTGCCACCCCCGCCACCGCGTCAGTCTCACTGTCTCCGTGTATATTCACTCGTGCCCAGGAACCGGTGCTTTTCTTTCTTTCTACAAATTGGCTTTCGCTGGACCCCCACCACCCCTAAGAGGCCTTGAACTACCATCATAAAAATAAGATGTTATTTTTACTACAATGTACAGTATTGTGTCGGCGATGGCCAAAAAAAGGTGAGCCTGGCGGTCGGCCCGGTCTCTATTTCAATTAATCCCATAGGTTCTGTTATTTTATTTACGCGTTTCGCTTTATACGCGGACCTCCATGGGTTTAATTAACCGCGTAAAACCAGACTATACTGTATTTTTACTCTGAGTACAGTACTGTACTTTATAAATCTGTTACTTTTCACTTTAAATCTAAGCGATAAGAAGAAAGAGGATTTCTTTTACTAGAGAAAATTTTTCTCGGAGCAATAGTACTTTTAATCAAGAAACTTTTCCAGTATATGTCCACCACTGCTGGGTAGTAACTCATGACATCGTATAAATAAATGTGTGAATGAGTAGAAAGCACAATGCTCTGTCATTTTTGAGGAATGAAAAGGTGTTTATTTGTGATGCTGAATGGGCAAGTAAGATGGATATTTAGGGCCTTGTTGATAATGGTGAATACCAATGCAGAAGACATTCATTACAGTAATAAAAAAGAATGACATGGATCATGGCATGTCTTTAAGCATATTTTGTAAATGTAGCATGGAACACCACCCCTCCTCCCACCACCTACTGGGATGAATGAAAGATTGGTCATTGATCAATGAAGCAAATGAAGTGCAAGTCCTTGTGTAATGGTTAGAGTTCAGGCAAGATCTGATGAGAGGAGGAGCAAGAAAACTGAGGAATGATAAAAACAAATGGGAAAGATGGGACACTTACATCTCAGAGTTAGCCTCCAATTCACTTATAATAGGTCCTGCTTCCATAGTGTATTGGAATTTAAATGTATAAGTCTCTAGAGCCAATTCTGGGTTGTCTGGGTCGGCATAGATTATAAACGTCAACTGTCGTAACTGCAATCAAACAAAATTTCTGGGTCAGTAGACATAACAAATATCAATACAAAAAGTAATGCTGTTCTGGCTATATACTTGTACTGTATTTATATAAACTTGTAACTGATACATTTATCACTGTTATGAATAGCTAAATTAGACATTAAAGTTATAAAAGAGATCAAATTATGTGATGGGAACAATGAAGATAAAATTCCAAGAGTAGAAAACATGACTCGATGTGACAACACAGTACTGTACTGTATGTTACGCCACACACCTCCCATCCGTGGAGCTTCAAAATGGTGAGTACAGTACAGCCAAACTACTGTTATAATGTTATTCTCAGCCAAAATTAATGTTATTCTCAGGTTTTATACATCAGACTGCACCTTTATATAAAAAAGTGACCCCACTGTGCATTATTTAATAAGGTTACATTCATCCCAGGCAATTCCACAACCTGGGGTGAGTTTGACCACAACTTGTTTATCCCTTAAATTCACTTTTTGTTGGTAAGAGAGGTGTGTGTGTGTGTGTGTGTGTGTGTGTGTGTGTGTGTGTGTGTGTGTGAACTGATCTACAGGAATATACACAATGGTATAATCATGGTCACCTTTATAAGATGAGAATAAAGTTTCAGTTTTGGTGGTTAAACTCACCCCAGGTGCTTCTACTGTTACTGGTAATGCATGCAGCAAAGCCACAATAGTTTTAACTGAACACAAACAAAATTCTTACATATTGCTTCTCAATGGCTTCAAAACATCCCTTCAACCAAGAGACAACCATGTTGGAGCTTAAAGAAGCTGACTTCTCCAGTAACATCTTTAACTGTAGTCCATCAAGGTTCCGATCATCATAAGAACTCTATAACAGAATAAAATGTGATTACCAATCGATTTCAACACAATTTCAAATCACACAGGTACAGAAGTTAGTCAAAATTACCAGACATCTGCACATCCAAGACATCTTAAAACCAGACTGGGGATTTTCCAGTGCAGTATAGTGTTAACAGTGACAAATAATAGCACTAGAATAATAACAGAGCAAATCTTTCTAAGCTGTGACAAGGTATGAAAATGTTCACAGTCAGATTACAAAATACTGTACTGTATAGTATAAAATTACATTTTGCTATCTTTTTTAGTGGGTTTGAATATAACAAAAACAATAATTTATACAACATAGTTATACTGTACAGTGTTTGTTTCAAACATATCTGCAGGAAAGGATTTTTGATAAAATGCTTTCCAGAAGTTCAGTACCTGTATACCTGTACTGTATATGCTGACACACAAGCAGTCAGGTACAGTACAGGGCATACAGCATACATTTGAATTCAAGTACAGGTTCTGCATCTTCAATGCAGTACAGTACCTGTCTTATTTTTTAAGTGCAACTTCAATACTTCATATCTCACCCTAACGTAGTTACATAATTTTTCCCCATCTTGGATTCATGATTTAACTAAGGTGATAAAAACTCTCTCTCTCTCTCTCCTCTCTCTCTTACCAGGCCTGCAGTTACCACCGGAAGTTGGGAAACCTGTGATGTTTGGTTGGGTCACACTTTTGGGTTTTTTCTCACATGTGTTCAGGCCAAGCAGGACTTGAGCCCTTGGCATACTGGTGAGAGATACGTGCATTACTGCTACCAGCACCAATTGAGTGTTAAATTATTTGCTGGTACGTTTCTAGTGAAAAAAAATATAAATGCAGTAATATCATTACAGTACAGTATATAAGAAGCAAGTAACACAGGACTAATTTAAAAAAATCAAAATAAATAAAATAAAATTTCAGTATACACACCTCTGGAAACAGTGTTCTTAAGTAAGTGATGTTTGAGATTCCAACTGATAACAATTTCTTCACAAAAAGAAGAGACTGTGCTTCTGTCTTCTGTTCTGCTGGGAAGATCTTGCCCCACTGTAATTAAAGTAAATACTGTACAGGATTCTACATTTAATTTTTCTTCAACTCCCACATGCTTTGGGAGGATCAAAGTTAACAGAAACTTCAAGCTAAAGGAAAATATTTGCAAGGCACATAAAGTAGCAAGATAAGACTGAAACAAGCAAAAACACTCTACTGTACGCATCACCAAACATCCTTAACTTGCATTCAAAATCCACAGCATGAATACTTAATTTGCTCATCAACAAAGATACCATTATCAGATACAGTATAGTATACTGTACAACCTTGATACCTGGTATTATTTAATATCCACTAACACAAGTGTCCCACCTATTTCTTCATGCACAGTATATTGTAGTCTTAGTTTTAAAAGTAGTTAAGATTTTTAAGTAATGACATACATAGTGTCTCTAGAATCCACATCGGAGTAAATGAGCTGGACAGTATATAATTATAGAGCATCAAAGTTTCAAGAAACAAGAGTTTTAAACTGCTGCTACTACAGTGTACAGTACAGTACTTGATTAACCTGCACCTCCCACACCCCCATTTTCCATGCCCAATAATAAATCAATAACAGTACTGTACTACTGATTTTTAACACAGGGTGGATACAAAAAACCATGACAATATCTTTTGTCACTCTGATGGATGGTAACATACAATCCATTAAAAACTATTTGAAACAGTACAGTATTCAGTTCTATAGCAAGTGGACTGAATTGGTGTAAAGTCCTAAGTTGTTACAAATCTAACCAGGGCAAACATTTTTATGACTGGTATGGCTTTTCTCAACATTGGCAGATGCACTTGGTTCCAGATCTGGCAGTGAAAAATCCACCCCAAAACCCTGCCTTGTAGATAATGAATTCAAAATACTGATTTAAAATAATACTGATTTCTTTTAAGCTTACCGTAGTTGTAGTCTGTACTTCTCTCACCATTTGGGAAACTGACATTTTGAAATTGTTGGCACAAGTCAGTACCACAGTCCTTGTAAAATCTGTGGGGAAAAAATGCTATGAAATAAAGGAATCACGCAGGACCAGCTCTTAGTTCATGACACTACCGGAGTGAACACAGGACAGTAAACCCTTGTTATTCGCGAGGGATAGGTGCCAAGGAATGGCGCTAATAGGCAAAACCGTGAATAGCAACTTATACTACCTTAGTGCACTACTGTATACCTATACCAAACAACCGACCAGCTGCAGCAGCACTCATCCCCTCTTTTAACTTGTCTAATAATTCAACTTTCTTTGTCAGGGTCATCACTGACTTCTGCACTTTCACATTTCACTCCACTCGCATCACTAGCACTGACACTTAGCAGTCTCTTAGGGTCCATTTCACACAGAAACACTAAAGTTTTGAGAGTACAACACAAGATGCTGCGTGGGATACCTCGTTGTGCTGTGTGAAATGGCTTGCAAGCAAGCCACCATCTGCTTACGGTGAATTGCAAACTCGCAAATGGCAAGGGTCTACTGTACTGTACCTACTACCTACCGTACTTACCCTATTCAATATTATTTGCACCTCAGCCCTCAGATGCTGCCATTTTTCAAAGAAATTTACAAATCTAATAGTGATGTCTCTATGTACTTTGTACACGAAGAAATTAATTAATGTTAATATTCCACAAAAGAAATCTGCTGCACTGGTGCGTATTGTTGTCACCCACTCTATGTTTCCGTGCAGCAACCGAGCCACTCAGTCCGAGCGTACTCTCATGTCCACAAAAAAACATAAAATTACACCATGCCGCTTCAAGAAAGTTGCTTCTATTGGTACCAGACATCAAAGTAAGTACTTTCTGTTTAACATGCTGCGGGGTCTAGGGGGAGGAGCCCTCCCGGCTAGGAGGTTAAGTCAGGTAAGGTTAAGTGTTTGTAGTTGGTTAGGTCAGGTTCCATTAGGTTCTGTGCAGTGTCATATTATTTTTATTACTTACTGTCATTCAACGAACATCTATGAAAAATGAACGAAATCAGACAACTTCTGGTATTAGCCTTTTACTCTTCCTTTACCAACTAACTACAAGTACAGTATTCCAAAAAAAAGTGTATATTTCCCCAGGGACTTTTATTTTACATATTTGGCTTTTTCTTTTTTTTTCTTGAGGAGAAATCTTACATCAGCTAACACCAGATGGAAGTGTTCTTGCTGTAGTTGGGTTGCCAATAATTACAGACTTTCTCAGTAATTAATAATGTATGTGGTAACTCGCCTACATAGTTCTAACCATCTAAGAATACCTTTTACTTCTTACGTTAGCTTGGGTTTTGTTTAGTCTGTTTACCTGTCTTAAAAGTGGACGGTGGACCATAATAGTTACAGTACTCTAGGAGCAAAAGAACATAAACGTTTACCTAAGAGCTGTGAGCGATTCTGTCAAAACAAAACAAAAAATCCTACATGAATTTTACTGATTTTTTTATTGGAGTTAGTTTATTTCTGGGGAAAAAGAAAAAAATACATAAATTAACCTAACCTACCCTGACCTAATCTCCCCTGAGTGGTTATATAATGTTGTCAGTATTAACTAAGCGGTTCCTTTGACCGTGTAGGCAGTATTATAGTATAAATTATATAAAAAAATATACACTTTCCCAAAAGAGAACAGTCACTCACAATTAACAAAATATATATTGTAAAAGCACCATTAATTTACACGTTGACCGTCTCTCGTGATGACCGATTCTAGAGAAACCTAACCCAACCCAACTCCGAGAGAACACGTGTTTAAGAGTTATTTCATGGCCATTGAGAGACCACTTAAATATTTTTCCCATACAGTCAATTGTTTTGCTTTTACACACGTGGTGACTATCAGACGGGAAACCATTTAAATTAAAAATGAACCAATCAAGCCTATCTTTGCCAACCTACACCTACTAAACACCTTGAAAAGTTCGAGAACAGGAAATAAAATAACCAAAGCGAGGATCCTTTTCCTCTGTACTGTACGCAACTTTTTAACTTACTGAATTAAACCTTACAGGTACCCTCTCAGCTTTTATAATAGACATACTCTTAACAATTAACTTAAACCATGACAAACTTACCAGAATGCTGAAATAAATGGTAGAAAACGTCTTAACCTGTACACCGACCTATGGGCACACCAGGCGCGGGAACAATGGAGGCCTCGTCTTAGGGACACTGAGTATAAAGTTTATTTAGCTATAATAATCTTTAAAACAATCTAATTATATTATTCAGAGCAATTATTACAAATATTACACTTTTTATCACATGAGTTGTCACTAATAAGCAAAAACAGTTGGATATATTGAATTTAATTTAATTGAAAGTTATTTTTGCCAGACAAACACAGATACAGAGTGAATAATAATAACAATATTAACACGGCTGAGCCAGTTGAGAACCTGAGAATAGTTGTAGTACACAATGACTCCTTTCATTTTACGTTAGTAGATAAATCTTCTCTGAGATAAAATTCATTTATAGATACACTGTTAGCATGTACTGTACAGTACTTTGTAAAGTAGAACCAGAGATCATATGTAAAGACCTAGTACACGTTGTGTCGGTTTTGTTCTCGGTTGAGTCTTGTATAGTAAAGTCATTCTAGAAGGGATCTAGATCATATTTTGTTATTAAAAACCGACTGAGTCTGCCTTTAAACTGAGGTGGACGTTGTTTTGGTATCGCACGGTCGCACACCGTACTGTTCGTAAGTATCGTCCACCAAAGTCTCTTCCAGGATCCTCTTTGCCGCCATCAGCGACTTGTTACTTCTGTACAGCTGTACTGATTTGCTAAATGACATTCTGGTTGACCTCAATCCGATGACCACAATATTTTCTCGCTCGTCCTCCGGATTTGCATTCTGAGCATAAAAAAATAACAGTGAAGGTTCAAGTGAAATAGACAAAGAATATGACTGACGTGTACTCCAGGAAACACGGTTCTCACACACGACCCGAGGGTTGAACCAACACCCCGAAGAGTGCCACTAGAGTCAGCCGCCTTGTTCACTAATATTTACTCTCCATGGACATAACACAACTGGGAACTGTCGAGACACCATTCAAAACTATCCAGATTTCCTGCTCTAGAGTATATTAAATGTAAAGATTTCTATTTAGTATAAATTAAATGTTAAAATGTTAAATGTTGCGTTTGGTTAAAAATCTGCGTTTCAAAATATATACGAAGTAATTTCCCACGTTAGATACCCTGTAGGTCGTCAGACAGGGTGGGGAAGAGAAACATTGTGAACTTTATTATGTTTTACTGTAATTACATAGATCCAAACACGACAAACTGATACTCATGTTCAAAACAATATTGCTTCTACTTGTTTGTTGCTCAATGACGTTATCAGGTGTTGGTGTTGGTGTAGTGACGTCATCAGGTGTTGGTGTAGTGACGTCATCAGGTGTTGGTGTTGGTGTAGTGACGTCATCAGGTGTTGGTGTTGGTGTAGTGACGTCATCAGGTGTTGGTGTTGGTGTAGTGACGTCATCAGGTGTTGGTGTTGGTGTAGTGACGTCATCAGGTGTTAATTAGTGTAGTTGACAGGTATTAGAGTCATCAATAGGTGATAAAAGACATTAGTAATATAATCAGGTGAGCTAGATCATTAGGCCAAGAGATCAGAATAGGTTAGAGGTCAAGTCAGCATGTTCTGTAGGTCGGGTGATGAGCTCAAGACGAGTTCAGTTAACGCTATCAGAGCTTGGGTCTAGGAGGTCAAGGATATTGTTAGGCAGGTCATATAGTCTGTAGGATAGTCGAGAAGTAGACTTGTCATGGTGTTTGGTCACGAGGTTTGGAGGTCAGATCATGAGGTTTTGAAGTCAGGTCAGGAGGTCAGTTCACGAGGTTTGGAAGTCAGGTCATAGGGCTTGAAAGTCAGGTCATAAAGTTTGGAAGTTAGGTCATGAGATTTGGAGGTCAGGTCATGAGGTTGGAAGGTTCGGTTAGGAGGCGGCGGGTGTAGGCAATGCGACCTCCCCCAGCAAAGCGAGAAGGGCGGCGCCATACCCTAGCAGCAGGAGGTAGAAGCCCCCCTGCAGGTGATCGACACTCAATGCCACACGCACCTCCACGTCCTAGTGAAGTTTAGACACCCTGGTTTATTTATCTTTAGTTTAGACACCCCTAGTGGATCTAATTTATTTCTCCTGAAGTTTAGACACCCTAACTTATTTCACCTCAAGCTTGTGTAATATTATTCAACATGTTTGATTATATTTATGTCAGAACCTTTTGTGGTGTGCAGTTAATTCCATCGGTTATACTCCCATACAAACAACAACACCGTACCTCTTTCTCTTCCTGCTGTCGAACTTCTTCCTCTTTCATCCTGTCTCTCCTGGCCTCTCTAGCGGAGGTTTGGATGAGGTCATTGAGCCAATAGTTAATGAGGCCGGTTTCTATCAACCTCTGTTTGGTCTTGTCCAGGCGCCGAAGGAATGGGGCGCCTTTTCTGTCACGATTCCAGAAGTAAATATTAAGTTAGAGCGCCCGCCATCTTGGTCGAAGCGCCTGCTCTCAGTTTTATTAGTAATTATTACAGATTACGTGAAGATTACACATCCCTGCTTATTTCACTTGATAATTAAACAACTTATCTACCTTTGGGGATTAAATTAGTCTTAGGTTAGGATTTGAGTGCTTTATAACTAAGTGTCATATAATTCATCATTTTCAAATACGTAATAATTGAGTGGGTGTTGTGTAACCTAACCTAACCTACCCTCCTCCTTAAATAGTGTTAGGGTGGTTAATCTTGGAGTGAAATAAGGTGAGGTGGAGATCCTTCATGTAAACTGTGTGTGTTTGTTTGAGTGGTGTTATGACTCTGTGTTCGTTGATAGGGATGCCAAATGTAAGCGAAGTTAGGTTAATAAGTTACTAGTACTTACTGAGTGGTTATGCATCCGTGTATTGCTCGTAATTTTGTCTAGGTTATATCCGTCACTAACCTGAAGCCCCAGCCATAGCCGGTGCTGACGAAGTATTCAACGCGGCCGATGTGTACGGGTGTGTAGCCTCGTGTGTCTGTGTAACGGGAGGCGACGATGTTGTGGATGTGGTACTTCCAGGTGAGGAGGGCGTGGCCTCCCCTCACTACCCGCTCCAAGTGGGCTTCTGTGTCTAGAATCTGTGCACAAGGTCACGGGTCAAGTAGAGGAGTCAAGGGTTATCTCGGAGGGTCAAAGGTAATATCCTCGGGTCAAAGCATAGAAGGTTATCTCAGGAGTTAAAGGTTACCAAGGGAGCCGAAGTTTATCTCAGAAAGTCACGGGTTTATATTAAGTACCTCAATGCCCTGGAAGATGTCCTTGATGGCGGGTGTGGTGCTACTCTTGAACCACTCCCACTCAGCACCATAGGTTGGCTCCAGACCCCACGACCAGCCGTCCTGCACCAGAAGCTGCTCGAAGGTCTCCACGGGGGAGCCCTTGGTGGGGAGGGAGAGGTGCGCCACCAGGGAGGAGCGATACATAGTCCCCACCAGGATGCTGAACACACACCACCAGCCCACCAACATCTGAACACACCCGGAGGCCCCCAATATAAATTAAAAGTCTGTGGTGTGCAAGTTGTGACCTATTACTGCAGGTCGCCATTATTCTACATGTTAGTGGCCAGGAATATTGTGTCTGTCTGTGAAACTGATTTCACTTATAGCTTAATATAACTTAACCTAATGTAGACGATCACGGAGACTTAAACCCTGCAACTTACTGATGATGGCTGCCGTTCTCATCATTAAATACACCCAAGAGACCCCAAAGAACACCCAGTCAAGAAGTAAACAAGTGTTGTATGTACACAAAGTTTTGAGAACAGGTGTTATGAAAGTACAAGCGTGGTGAATGGCCGCAAAACGTTGATGATGAAAATGATGATGATGTAAAACGTGTAATACCACGAGAACATTAGAACACTTATGGGATGAAGCAAAGTTTCCAAACCCCTCCTGGCGGTTGGGTAGAAAATTCACCAAAGATTTAAATTTATGGTAAATGAACACCAGTCTGACTTAAACTGTAAACTGTCTCATAAGCTTTAACGAAGAGAGAGACACTGTGGTCACCTGGTTAGTAATAGCGGTGGGAAGCTTGAAGGGCGAGTCCTGTAGCAGCAGCCCGGTGGTGTAGAAGAGGGAGGACCCGAGGCTCATGTTCTTCTCGGCCTAAGTGACTCCTGGCCTTCTGCAGCCCCCAGTACACCACGCCGCCACACACAACCATCACCAGCACCCCACACCACACCTCTCCTGTTCGGCATAAACAAAATAAGTGTAAATAGCGTAGATAATGAATACTGTCCTGGCTGTATACATGAAATAGTGCAGTGCAAATTACGGCTTAAACAACCACGTCTCCATGTTGTTATTGAAGTGTTCCGATTTGTTTTCCGTGGGATCTGGTTACCCTGGGACTGAGAGGGAGAGACGGGGGGATCCGGGTACCTGTGAAAGGACTGACGATGGACAGATAGCGAGGTAGAGGCCGGGGCTTGGAGGTGACCATAACGAGGGGCTCGGCGGCGTAGATCCTGGAAAAGTCGATGACGAGACGCCTCTCCTGGGACCAGTTGAGGAGCATGGAGAAGTCTGCCTGATGGTGCTGGAGGGTCCCCACTGTCCCTGTCCAGTTGCCGCCCTCCTGTCTCATCCCCCACTGGTTGTCCCACGGCACACGGATCTCATACCTGGCGGAGGGGAGGGAGGAGGGCGCAGCACCATGAACATCAGTCACTGTTCTATGTTCAGAGCGTCTATAACCTAACCTATCATAACTTAATCTAACCCAACCGGACCTAATCTAATCTAACTCAATCTAATCTAACCCAACCTAACCCAATCTAACCTTACCTAACCTAATCAAACCTGACTAAACAAGACCTAACCTAACCTAATCTAACCTAACCTAAACTCACGTAAAATTTAAGACCCGGGCGAGGGCTTGGAGCATCCTGAGGTCGAGTGAGTCGACAGGAGTGACTGTAGTGGCCGGGGCGTCACTATCTCGATGGAACTTAAGGAAGGGGAACCAGTCCATTGACACAACCTGGAACTTGTGGCCCATGCAATCCCGGAACTGATCTGTTGGGGGAGAAGGGGATATGATGTATTTATTAGTTTATTTTATTTTTTAGATATGCTTGATGGTGTTACGAATTAGAAGATGTTTTAAATAATGTGTGTGTGTCTGTCTGTCTGTCTGTCCATCTATTCCATCTACATACATACATAACAACGGTACATGTAAAGCCCAAAATTCTTGTTAAATCCTAAATTAGTTTGAACTTAACCAAAGATACGACAAAAAATAAATTTTCTTATACCCAGTAAACGGGAAAATAATTTAACGTAGGAGAGTTTGAGTGAAGGGAGACTCACCAGGGAAGAGACTCACCAGAAGAGACTCACCAGAAGAGAATCACCAGGAGAAACTCACCAGGTAGAAACTCACCAGGTAGAAACTCACCAGGGTAGAAACTCACCAGGGTAGAAACTCACCAGGGTAGAAACTCACCAGGGTAGAGACTCACCAGAAGAGACTCATCACTAGCAGACTCACCAGGATAGAGACTCACCAGGGAAGAGATGGGCGTGGGCGTGAAAGCCAGTGTGGGGGCTCCAGCGGTCCAGCTCGAGGGTCTTGGAGTTCCCCTGGTGGCAGAAGTGACAACGTGTGTGTACCGCCACCTCTAGCCTCGCGTCTGTCGGGGTACAGTAGAAATGTATTACTTATTTACTTACCTACTTACTTATTTACTTACTTACTTACTTATTTATTTACCTACTTACTTATTTACTTACTTACTTAGTTTTATAAGTATTGTGGATAAAGTTTAGTTGATAAGTTAAATATCTCATTAAAATTATATATATATTATTTTCCCGTTATTAAATTTATAAATATATGTCCCGTTATTTATGAGAGTTAACATATTGGTGTTAGAATTATGATTTAACACAAGACAACCCTTCGTCCCTGCAGTAGTGGTGGTTCGGGGAGGGTGGTGGGGGGCGAGGTAGAGTGTGTGGACTGTGTTGCGTAGGGCGGGGTGCTCCAGGAAGGTCTTGGCTAATGTGTTGGACCCTACCCCCACCACCATGTTCTCTGGCCACTCCTCCAGCTGCGTCGCCGTCACCAACCTGTGCCACCATATTGGTTATTACGAAATATCTCTTACAATAAACAGCGCCAGCACAAGCAATCAAAAGCGCCTGGCGTTAATGGAAATGTCACATGATCGTTCACAGTCGTTCTTTACTAGCAAGAGCCAACCAACACACTTGACGTCCCCCTCCACACCGTACAATGACACACCTTCACACAAACGCTCTCCCGCTTTCTACCATCAGTTGTTTTTATGTGAGGTGCCGGCAAGCGCAACAACACCCTGGCGAAGTTTCTTAACTTTTGATACCCCGTGACGCTGGTTCGAACCCCGATTGAAGTTTAGAATTCTTACTCAAATACGACAGCTGTTAACGTCTGCATTGTTTTAGTGTTATAATTATCCCACTATGGAGGAAACATTATTTTGTAGTTTTTTCTTCTTTTTTGTATTACAAATGCACGTCACTTACCGGCTGATCCTTGAAACATGATTACTACTACAGTACTTACTCAAGAGCCTGGTGGGGGCTGGTGGCGGAGGTTAAGTCGAAGATGAGGGCACGGCACGATAACTTAGCGTCTCCCTCCTTCAGAAACTCCAGGAGAGGTGAGAAGGAATCTACAGCAGGAGGGGATGAGGAAGAGGAGAAGGTATGTGTCCCAGTGTCCATTACCAGAATACCTTTGTATACTCCTGCCAGGGACCTGACGAAGGGTGATGAGATGTTAGTATCTTACAACACACTACTCATTCACATCCATCACTCACCCTCTTTCACTTTGTTTTGTTATTCTTTCTTTCAATATTATCTGAGGGAAGTTTCTTTAGTTTTTGTTTTGTCAAATACAAAAAACACTTCGAGAACATTTAAAGGTCTATCAAGGAGCAGGACTAGAGAGAAAATAACTTGATGCTTGTAGAATATTTACACACACACACACACACACACACACACACACACACACACACACACACACACACACACACACACACAGATAACACACACACACAACACACAAACACCTGAGAATATCGCTGTAGGTGCTGGAACCATTAGAGGCGTCTACCACCACCAGGTAACACGCAGACAGGTACAGCTCCACTACCTCCCTTACCACCACGCCCACGCCCTTCATCTGGTTATCCTCGCCCACGGAGATCACCTGAGCGACCGCCATGACTAACTGACCGACGAAGACCGTTACCATGACAACGACCGAAGGCGAGATACGCATCCTGGTGGCGATGTGGAGAAACAACCGAGGAGAGGGTATTGTAATCGGAGTGTGTGTGGGTGTTGTCTGAATCACACTTGTCAGAGGAGTGTGTGTAGGTCGCTTGTTAGGGCTGGTTTTAAGTATTAGTCAGAGAGAGAGAGAGAGAACACCGCACTAGCTCCCTGAACACCTGCAAGGACTGGTCACCTCCCTCCCCACCACCCTCCATCACCAGCAGCACGCGGCATCTCCCTCCTCCTCTCTTCGTATTATTTACTTGTGGTAATCAGGCAATATTTACAAGTTTTCAGGTGTGTAGTGTGAGAGGCGGTACATGAGGTACAAGCATACACACACGCACATACACACACACACACACACACCTTACACACCCGCACATATCACACACACACACACACACACCTGGGGTCATCAACTATGCCAGGAGCGAGTTGCCGTATAAATGTATTCGTCTTACTGTGATATGACGACGGAAGAGACGGCGAGGAGGAGGAGGAAAGGCTTGATTATGACGCGCAAGGGGGTAGCTTTCTTTGTGTCCGTCTGTTTGTTTCTATTCCGTTTGTTTTGTTTGTGCTTGGATTATTTGTTTTCTCCGTCTGCTTGTGGTTGTTCTATTTGTTTGTTTTTGTATCTTCTCCGTTTGTTTATTTGTCTTCTCTACTTGCTTGTATCTTCTATTTGCATGTTTGTGTCTCCTCTGTGTTTTTCCGTTTGCGTGTTTGTGTCTTTTCTGCTTGTTTGTTTGTATCTGCTAACCTTTCCTAACCAAACCTAACTCCTATAGGAATTAGCTTTAAAGTGTTCCAATCATCAGGTGAAATATTATGCTGGGATGCTTAATCTTCAGCTGTTCCTACATTCTATACAATAAGAACCCCGAGAGCCATATGATGTTTACTAGCATCAATAGAAGACTGAATGATGTTCCGATCTTCTATATAGATAAAAAAAAAGAGAGCATCAAACTTGTTATGTTTTATCCTCTTGATTCTTCGGTATAAGGTTAAATTTTCAAGGGGATACGTGCGCTCTGGCTCAGTATCCGCTCGTCAAGGAAGTCAATAAACAGTCGCGATTATGAGACAAAGATTATATATACCGTATTAGTTTGCTCTATTTAGTTTATATTTACGCTATTTCAAACGATTTTAAGTACAGCGTAGTGTATACCTAAGAACAAAAATATCATTGACTTTTGATCTTATTAAATTGAACTCCTCCATAGAAAACGTTAAGAGATTTTATCACTACCAAATCTTCATAAAAATTCGTGGATTAAATTTCTCCCTAACAGATTTGTGAATGTATATAAGTGGAGGCTCATTTAAATTACACAGCAAAGATGAATTCTCAGACCCGTGTACGTTGAATTCACTCCAAGACGTGAGAATATATCTGACACGCTGACTTAACCTGATAACTAAGATATGAAGGAAGATACTGTGTCGAATTTGCATAAAGACATTCTGGTAAAAAGATTATTTAGTTTTTGAAGACGATGGTTTAACCCTTTTGGATGATGGTTTAAAGAGTCAGGTTTTAACATACGAACTTTAGAGAATTACCTATGTCGTAGCCGAAGTGAATTTAGCGTAGAAACATCAATAAATATATTTCCATGCCGTGGTTTATGGGACCTAGTATAATAAGTTCTAATATATCCAGTTAGAGAGGGAAATATATCGTAAGAACATTCGAAATTCTGAGCCGTAGTTGTGGTTTATTGTCTGGGTTGACGAACAGTGAAGAAACAAGTACAACGAAAAATTTAAACAGACGGAGGATGAAAGATTGAAGGAATAATAAAGAATAAAAGAAAAAGACGATAATGACGATAAACAGGAAGTGAAAGTATGAGAATAAAACATTTGATACGCTATCTGTATAAGGACATATGACAAGCACGCTTCTCTAACTTGTAAACAGTATGTAGTGTGAGGAATGACATGGCAATTCGCAAGGTATGAAGAGTTAGTGTGAAAGCGACAAGTATAAACCAGAGAGAGATATCGCACCGTGGTCTTGTTGTTGTTAATGTATGTGAAGGAGAGCACCACAGAGGAACACATCTGTTATGGCTGTGAGTTTAATAGTGACAAGGAATGGAATGAGGATCCGTTTTTCACCTCCTGAGTTCCGGCCTCGATACAATAACAGGAAAAGACTTGCAAGGGGTTAATGAAGTGATTGAAGGAGGAAGGGAATATTTAGATGCCATTAGCAGGAGGGCAAACGATTCAAATGTTCTGAATCTGCCGCGTCTTACTCATTACTGTGATAGATTTGTTCCGTTCAGTGGTTTACAGTGTGCAGCGGTTTGTTGAGCGCATCACATGAATCTATTCCTTTAGTGGTATAATTTTAGTTGTATTCCGTAAACTGTACTCTGAATAAAGCATCTAGAGCAGCAACTGTACAATAATTATTAAAAATAATATGTGAGTACAGTAATATAAAGATTTAATTTCAGTTTTGAATTCCCTTAAACGTAGTGAACTGCCTGAGATACGGACCCCAAAGTACTATGATATAAATTACTCACTGTGATAATTTTATAGTAAGTCTAGCTAATTCTTCCCTTAGAGTTACCATAAGACGTACGAGTTTTTACATTAATCGTCAATGTAAATATATTTCCCATCAAAACTGTTCTATAAAGCTTACTTACATTTCTTATATAAATAACAGTACATGGAAGGCTATATATATCAAGGGTCCCCAGCTTGATTATAAGAATTACATACATTTACTTCAGCTTGGAGGGCCTGGAGTTATAGATCCTTATACGTAATTTGACTCATTTCTTGTCTCCTGTTTTAGGCTAGCTGTGTGAAGATCAACATTATTCTGATCATAGGTTTAGTCTCGGTAAATATAAAGTTCAAGAAGGTGACCTATTCCCTGGGTATAGTAGTATCACTGTTAGGATGAAAATCGATTTTTTTGTATATTTCTTACAAGTGCTTATTGCATTTTCTTACTGTGAATGAATTTAAACAGTTTTATTTAATATTTTTATTAAATATGCGTTATTAATGGTTGATTCAGATTATATCAAAATCGCTACAATTTACAGATTTTACGTATAATTCTATTCATTGTAATCCACACTATCAAATCAGTCATATCAAATTCATAAAAATGTTTTGTTGAAATAATACTTCTTCTATATGTATAAGATGATGTCATAAATCCTTACATATTCCTAGGGATTGGTTGTGGACTGGTATCTGGATGATACCAGTCTTCTTGTACTGATTATCTACCTGTATCAAATTGCGGTTTAGGCCTACCCTGTTATATTCACGTATCTATACATGTTATTGTTTTGGGTTTAA